AGAGATTGCACATTACACTAAGTAGCGCAATAGGTCTGTAGAGTCCTTCTTTTCCTCTGCAAGCAGTAGAAACATCCAGCCAGGAGTAGTTCCAAGCTACGACTGTTGCTTTGAATATCAACTCGGAGCCGGGACCCTCTGAATCAGGGACAAAGAATTTTGAGCTGGCCACAAGCAAACCTTGAGCCCGACTCCGTTCTGAACGGCTTTAGCCTCAAACAGCAAGTCCACATTCTACGAGCACTCGGCTGATGCGGGACCGCTGATGTTGGGGAAGTTCAAAGGGACTGGAAGGGCTCCGATGCAGGACACGGTTGCCTTGAGCGTGTTGACTGTGACTAGGCTAGAATCTACACTCTCTACGTGACAACTTAGGGGAGTGTGCCTGCATCTGGGCACAACCAGTCGCACAAAAGAGCTTTGGTCTGTACAACATGCGCGTCACGCTCGCTCTAGTGGCCAAATTTAAAATAGGTAGGTGTGCTGCCATCATCGTCGTACTTGCGGCGGCGGCCTCCATCCTTGCCATCATCATCGTACTTACGGCGGCGGCCTCCATCCTTGCCATCGTCATCGTACTTGCGGCGTCGACGCCCTCCATCTCCATCGTCGTCCTTGCGACGGCGACGGCCTCCATCCTTGCCATCATCATCCTTGCTGCCATCATCATCCTTGCGGCGTCGACGCCCTCCATCATCACCATCGTCGTCCTTGCGACGGCGACGGCCTCCATCTTTGCCATCATCATCCTTGCTGCCATCGTCGTCCTTGCGGCGTCGACGCCCTCCATCATCACCATCGTCGTCCTTGCGACGGCGACGGCCTCCATCCTTGCCATCATCATCCTTGCTGCCATCGTCGTCCTTGCGGCGGCGACGGCCTCCATCCTTGCCATCATCATCCTTGCCGGCATCGTCGTCCTTGCGGCCGGGGCGACGGCCTCCATCACTGTCGTCGTCCTTGCGACGGCGACGGCCTCCATCCTTGCCATCGTCATCCTTACTGCCATCGTCGTCCTTGCGGCCGGGGCGACGGCCTCCATCTTTGTCGTCGTCCTTGCGGCGGCCTCCATCTTTGTCGTCGTCCTTGCGGCGGCCTCCATCTTTGTCGTCGTCCTTGCGGCGGCCTCCATCTTTGTCGTCGTCCTTGCGGCGGCCTCCATCTTTGTCGTCGTCCTTGCGTCGGCCTCCATCTTTGTCGTCGTCCTTTCGGCGGCCTCCATCTTTGTCGTCGTCCTTGCGGCGGCCTCCATCTTTGTCGTCGTCCTTGCGGCGGCCTCCATCACTGTCGTCGTCCTTGCGGAGGCGGCGGCGTCCACCATCGTCCTTGTTGTCATCAAGGTCATCATCATCGTCCACAGGAGGAGCCCTTGGTGGTTTGGTACTGCTTCACGGTGGTGGTTGGCTCCTCGGTGGTCGTGGGCTCCTCGCCGGTCGTGGTTTTGTACTGCTTCTCGGTGGTGGTTGGCTTCTCGGTGGTTGTGGGCTCCTCGGTGGTCGTGGTTTTGTACTGCTTCTCGGTGGTGGTTTTGTACTGCTTCTCGGTGGTCGTGGGCTCCTCGGTGGTCTCGGGCTCTTCGGTGGTCGTGTCGTCGCCCCCTGGGTGGCATGCGTCGCAGTACTCGCCCAAAGCATCCACGATAACATCCACGCAGCCATGGCACTTGGACAGACATTGGTCCTGGTTGTCCCCTTTTGCCCCCAACGCCTCACAGAAGCTCGAGCACACGTCGTCTTCCGTAAGGCAACCCCCCCGCTTTGTGGTGTTCACCTGGGCCGCCAAGATCTTGCCTTCCCGGGTAGGTTTCTGCAGCAAGCCCGCAGCTTCAGACTCCTGGATGAAGCAAAGGTCCTTCGAACAAAAATCTTGTCCGGCGGCCATCATGCCCGCCACGATGTTCTTGTGCCGCCCACAGTGCTTCATCAGACACCAATTTGCGGACTTCGCATTTGGCAGCATGTCCTGGGAGCACATAATGCGGCAGACCCATTTGGACGAATCGCACGTCTTCTCGCCGGCGTGGAAACCGATGGCCGGGCAAGAGCGGGCCAGGGATGGGACGAGCCACGTGAGCAGGAGGGTGATCTCCCGCTTCATGATGCCACTGTCTCTAAAGTGTCTCTACAATGGCGGCTAGAGGTGTGATCTGAGAGCCAAAATGGCCCCATAGAACCCTAAAATCAAAACCCTAATCAGCCGGCGCAGGTCCGAGAGTGGAAAGAAGAGGCTGACAGGGTGTAGGGCTTACAGGGCTTGCAGGGCTTCTCTAGCCGGCGGGTTCCTTTGCGGGTGTCCTTTGAATGAGGCGAGGGGGCCCTTCTGACTTGCTGCTGAGCCGCGTTGTCCGCATAGGCGGTACCACGGATCCTGGGCTACGGGCTACGGTGTCACAAGAGTTGGATCCTCCAAGGCGGCGAACTTCCGAACCATCCAGACTCCAGACTAGCGCCCCCTACATCCCCCTGCTGTAGGGCCCTAGAAGAAGCTGCACACGCACACTCTTCTCGAAGTCCGATTGGCATGCCCTGGATCTCTTCGCGGGTCAGCTCCCGCGCCAAAGAGCCTGGACACCGGGTCGGATAGCGGCTTGGGATTTCTGAGGCTTTCAGGCTGAATGCCCTAGGGGCGTGTGTAAGGCGGGTCGCAGTTGTGGGGCGTAGGATTTAGGAAGATTTTGAGTTCAGTGTGGAGGGGGGGGGTGTGTGTTTGGGGCTTTGGTTCAGGAAGCGCTTCGCTACTCCCCTCCCCCCCCCCCCCTCCCCTACTCCCCTCTGCCCCTTGGGACGGCACCCGCCCTTGCCGCGGCATCCGCCAGACTCAGCGGCTCCGCCGAAGAGGAGCGCTGGAAGCCTGAGGCTACTTCGAAGCCCTCTATACCCCTTAAATACGGAATATACCTGGAAGGATCTTGCCCTACGAAAAAAAGGAGTATTGGGCCCTCTGGGTGTGCGCTGCTGGGCCCACAACCAGAACGCTTCCGGAAACCCAAGCAGCCTCCCCCAACCCGTTTATTAAGCGGCCAAGAAGCGCTGCAGCAGCGTCACGACTTCGTCACAGCCCTCGTTTGGACAGCCCTGTCGGGATGGGGTTCGTCACGTGCAATGTGAACTGATGTACATACACCATGATAAGTACAAAGATCGGGGCCCGAGCTTTTTGCGTAAGGGTTCAGGCTGTTTATGCAATCGGAATACTTGAGGATGTCAAGGAAGCCTAAGCGCCAGTGTGACCCTTAGCTACCCTTCCCAGACCCCTTTGCCTCAGATGCCCGCACAGAGCACACCGTCGATGCGAGGACACCTGCCGGTCGAACTACGCCCCCCCCCCCCTCGCACCCCGGAGCCTCCAAAGATATCAGCATCTCGAGAACCTCTTTTGTTTAAGGAGCCGCCTTTTGACACCAAGCCCAATGAACCCTAACTAAACCCTGTACCCCAAACCCAGGTTTTGAGGGGGCGGGGGGGGAGGGGGGGGGAACTCCTGAAACTGAAAGCCCCAAACCCTCACACAGTCCGGCCTAGCAACGCCGCCGGCCCGAGGCCGGCGCCCATCCTGCGAGCCCTAAACCCAGGACCCTTTTTGCTCAACTCTAAAACCCTAAACCCTAAACTCTAAACTCTAAAACCCTAAACCCTAAACCCTAAACCCTAAACCCTAAACCCTAAACCCTAAACCCTAAACCCTACCTGAGACTCTATGTAACTGCAGTTGAGTGGCACATGCCAGGGGTACCCCAAAGGTTGCAAGGACCCTAACCCTTTTTAACCCAGGACTGCTTAGGTTCTGCGAGGCGACCGCCTGATCTGAGTCCCTGTTCAGAAACCCGAAACTCATGCAAAAGGTTCACTGGTCAGACCCTAAACCCTGTTGCAACCCAAACCCTAAACCCCAAACACTTAACCCTAACCCCTCCACATCCCTCCACCCTAGCCTCTGCGGCCTTCAGACCTCAGCTCAAGGGACAAAAGGAGGGACCCTGGCAAGGGACCTGAAGGGGCTATTAAGGGCTATTTAGGTACATAGGGACCCGGATAAGGTGTATACAGAGGGGTGCTATTTGGGTTGTATGGGGGGAAGAAGATTAAGGGTCCCTTGTTGGGGGGGTCCCTCCTTCTACCCTGAAGCTGTCCAACACAGGGGGTTCTTGCTTTTTAGCTCCCCCCCCCCCCGCTCCTCGCCATGGAAGGGTCGGTTCGATGGGGGGCCGCCCCTATGGTTTTATAGGGGGGACATCTTGAGCCGGTGGCGGTGGCGTGCGGAGCGTCGGCGGGACACCCTAAACCCTAAACCCTAAACCCTACACCCTAAGCCCTAAGCCCTAATCCGAGCTCCTGTTTAATTAAACCCCCCATATTTAAAGAAATTTTTTTGCCCGGATTCCCGCCGGAAGACTACTTTCCATTACGATGGATTTCGTATGGGCCAAACCCCCCACATTTAAAGAATTTTTGTTTGGGGGGGTTGTCAAATTTTGAAACTCTGCCTTTCGGAAAGCTTTTTTCTTCTGCAGGGACGTTTGGGTTCTTATTGTTTTTTAATAGAGAAACCATACGGGGCCATGGTCCAACTATTGCGGAACCCTGCCTTCCTTATTGTGGGGGGGGGGGGGCCCCCAATTAAACAGGAGCTCGGATGAAACCCTTTTTTTGAACCCAGAACCCTAAACCCTAGGCCTAACCCTAAGCCCAAAAAGCCCTAAGCCCTAAACCCAACCAGAGGGTTGAGGGTGCTTGAGGGCTCTTTTGGGGCCTGTCTCTGCCGGCATTCAGGGTCCATACGTTAACGTCCTGCGATCTTTGGCAGCAGGTCTAGTTCTGGGACACCCTTCTTCAGGTTTCCTGAAGTTCAAAGCTAAAACCCCGAACCCTCAACTAACCCTGCATTTCAGGCTGTAGTGTTTCGGCTTGCAAGAGGCCACTTAGAAGATTTTTAGGGCTTCGAGGCATCTTAGCCTCTTGGGCCTTTCGGGATCCGTCTTGGTCATCTTTGAGGCAGCTCGCGGCTTGCCCAGCGTGAAGTCCATGATCTCCTGGCAGGCGCAGCATCAAAGCGTGGAGAGTCTTACTCTTACTTCAGTCTTACTTCCACTCTTTGAGTTTTTGGTGTGTGGCAGTGTGGCAGCTGCAGTATCTGAGGGCTTTCGACACGCTCGAACCAGGCATGGCCAAGAGTCCTTACGAATTACAGCACGACCCGCCGTGTCTCAGAGGCTCCGTGAGCCTCTGTCTGGCCATCCGGCACTGCTTTTGGTGCTTTCTGAGATGACCTTCACAACTCGGTCGTGCTGGTATGCAGTTGCGAGCTCTTTGGCACCTTTCCCAGTGCAGTCAACCGCCTTCAACTTGGCTCCCTGTCCCAGCAGGAGTTGAACTGTGTCCGCTCTCCCTGCGACTGCGGCTGCCAGCAGCGGCGTTCGACCCTGTGCGTCCTGCTTCTCTAGTTGGGCACGAGCAGCAAGAAGCGTCATGACGGCAGCGCCGTTTCCTCTCCTGGCAGCGTGGTGGAGGGCTGTGCAGCCTTCCATATCCGAAATCTCGAGGGGCGATCGCTGTTCGATCAAGAGCTTGCAAAACTCATGTCGCGCCCCAGAGGCTGCCAAAATCAACGGTGTAAGCCCAGCTTTGTCCGCCTCGCGGACACCAGCTCGAGCTTGCAAGAGCAATCGGACCACTTCTGCCCTTTGTCCGTGGATGGCATGCATGAGTCCTGTCCAGCCGTCGTCATCCTTGGCATCCACCACAGCCTTCTTTTCCAGCAGCGCACGCACAACGTCCACGCGGCCACGAAAAGCTGCCGCCACAAGCGCCGTTTGATGGGCAAATCGCCCTTCATCAACACAGCCATCCACTCGCACACCGCTGCGACTCAAGAGCTGCTCGAGATCCCCAACTTCGCCAGCTCGGGCCGCTGCCACAAATCGCTCTTGATTTGCCGCTGTGTCTATTGAGCCTGGAGCATCAGACTGCAATAGGACTTCCTGATCCAGTGTGCCAGGCTTTCCTGTTGCCATATCCGGTCTCATAGTGGTGGAATGCCAGGAATGGTATCCAACTGTGGGTTGGCCGGAAGAAGTGTTCCCTGCACTCGCGGAGCGGCCAATGCCATTGACATGGCCTGTTCGTGGTGCATACGCCGTTGCTCGACCTGCTCCACCGGCCTCCTCACCAAAAGGCACTGGCATGCAGATGCTCACTTCCTCGTTGTCGATGAGACCGCTGCCACCAACCACTCCAAAGCCTTTGGGTTGCTCCTCGGACGCATGCGGGGCCGTGGCCACGGGTTCTTCCCTCCCTTCCTGAGTGCCAGGCGCCGGCTCCGCGTCAGGTTCTGGAAGGCGGGGGCGGGGTCTCCGGGCTGGCGACGAGGCGGAAGAGACCGAAGAGGCTGGCGGCCGTGGCACCGGTGGCTTTGCCGCCGGCTTGGCCGTGGGTGCCTGCGAGGCTGGTCTGCACCGCTCGGCACGCACAACCGGAGCCACCTCTGGGGTCCAGGACTCATCTCCACCCACAAGGCTTGAGGCGTTGGGGTCCAAGAGAAGAATCGTCAGCCCGAGATCGGGCCGAGTTAGCGACTGCAGCAACATCAGTCGGGACCCATCTTCTTTGGCCGGATTCAAGGAGACCACGACTTCCTCTGACTCGAGGCCCAGGTCCGGAATGCAGCAAACGGCCGAGATGCAGAGGATTTCCGGGTCCTTGCTGGTCCACCCAATCTGCCGGCGCTGAGACTTCACGGGCGGGAGCGCCACGCGAAGCGACTCCTCGCTGAGAGGGCTGCCGAAGTGGTAGGACAGGCCACACCTTGGCTGTCTCCATTTAGGGTTTAGGGTTTAGGGTTGAGGGTTTAGGGTTTAGGGTTTAGGTTAATATGCCCGGTGGTCTCTTTAACTGTTACTCTTGCCAGTAGTAGTAGTAGTAGTAGTAGTAGTAGTAGTAGTAGTAGTAGTAGTAGTAGTAGTAGTAGTAGTAGTAGTAGTAGTAGTAGTAGTAGTAGTAGTTGTTGTTGTTGTTGTTGTTGTTGTTGTAATAGTAGTAATAGAAATAGTCGTAATCGCAGCCGTAATCGCAGTCGTGGTGGTAGTCGTAGTCGTCGTCGTGTAGTAGTAGTAGTAGTAGTAGTAGTAGTAGTAGTAGTAGTAGTAGTAGTAGTAGTAGTAGTAGTAGTAGTAGTAGTAGTAGTAGTAGTAGTAGTAGTAGTAGTAGTAGTAGTAGTAGTGGTAGTAGTAGTGGTGGTGGTGGTGGTAGTAGTAGTTGTTGTTGTTGTTGTAGTAGGAGCAGTAATAGTAGTAGTAGTAGTAGTAGTAGTAGTAGTAGTAGTAGTAGTAGTAGTAGTAGTAGTAGTAGTAGTAGGAGGAGTAGGAGTAGTAGTAGTAGTAGTAGTAGTAGTAGTAGTAGTAGTAGTAGTAGTAGTAGTAGTAGTAGTAGTAGTAGTAGTAGTAGTAGTAGAACTAGTATTAGTACTAGTACTAGTAGTAGTAGTAGTAGTCGTAATAGCAGCAGTAGCAGCAGTAGCAGTAGCAGTAGCAGTAGCAGTAGCCGTAGCAGTAGCCGTAGCCGTAGCAGTAGCAGTAGCAGTAGTCGTAGTAGTAGTAGTAGTAGTAGTAGTAGTAGTAGTAGTAGTAGTAGTAGTAGTAGTAGTAGTAGTAGTAGTAGTAGTAGTAGTAGTAGTAGTAATAGTAGCAGTAGTAGTAGTAGTAGTCGTCGTCGTCGTTAACCTCTCGGGAATAGAGTACCCCAAAAAGATTACGAAAGGCTACCTCCTCTACTACGACGACACTTGGCATGACATAGGCATATATAGGGAATCTACTACCCCCAAAAAGGTTACAAGAGGTTCCCTAGCTCTACCACCAAGACACTTACCGAGGCCGGGCGCCTGCAGGTGCCCCTCGAAGATAACACCAGCGAGCTCCGCCATATCGCGCCAGGGAGCCCCCAACCTGAACCTCTACACCAGACCCTTTTGAACCCAGGCTCGGACACTACACCAGACCCTAAACCCTAAACCCTTATCATAGGAATAAAAACGGATACCCCTTTTGGTTTAAAGGGGTGCATGAGGGAACCTAGAATGAGGGCCTACTCTGGACCTTCCCCTCTGGTACCTGGGAACACTGCGGAAGGTCTGCGACTTAAGGCGACACATGCAAGACGGTGAGCGAGAATCGCGGGTGAAGATTTGTCATTGTGTTGTTTGTGCGTGGAGGGGCCAAGCTACCTCAGATGCTAGAGCCTTGATCAACAGCGAAGACAGCAGCAAGCAAACAACAAAAACTACATTGATGGTGCGCATGAGCCAAACAGGTGGCAGGATTTGCATTTCTGCATAACCCTGTGTCTACTTCTTGAATAACCAAGGAGTCATACATGTGTCTAACGACATAATTCCTACAAACTCAAAGGAGACCCAAGAGGTTTCAACTGTTCATTTCCTCGCGGAGCCTCCCTTCTGAGGTGTCTTTCATCCGATTCCTCACCCCTCGCAGCCACCGGAGCCCTACTTTAAAACATGCCCCAAAAACCTTAAGCCCTAAACCCGAAACCCTTTTACATCCAGGCCTCGTGACGAATGCGCTTTTGCAACGGGCTTTCGGGTCCGCCTTTGTAGGGGGCAACCGCCCAGCCCTCAACCCTAAACCCCTAAACCCTAAAGCCGCAAATCCGGGCGCCCTGGTTCCTACCGTCCTTGAAGGTCGCCAGGGAAGGCTTGAGGGCGAAGATGTGCGAATGCCAGCCGGGCCCTTCCGTGATTTTGGGGTTTAGTGTTCAGGGATTGAGGTTTAGGGTAGGCACCCTGATCTCTGGTCCTGGTGGGATAGTAAGGCTTGGAAGGGAGCTATAGGGATGCTTGTAAAATTCACCGCCTGGGAAGTCTTGAGGTTCCCTCTTAGAATCCCTGCAGGGAGAGTAGGGGTTCATAGGTTGCGGGCTCGTGGGTAGGGGTTGGGGGCTGAGGGTTGAGGGTTTCGGGTTTAGGGTTCCCTCCTTTGGGGTCCTACAATACGGACTACGGCTGTTTTGGGTGCATGTAAAGGCCTGGCCCCATGTTCGGAAATGCCCATAGATTGCCGGCCACTGGCTGCCTGATGGAGATACGTCGCTCAAGAAGGTCACGTTCTCCGCGGCCAAATCCTGCAGAACTACCCGAACTATCACAAATAAGTACCCGAACTCTCATAAACTCCAGTTCTTATAAATGCTAGTACAAGCACAAGGCCGGGCCTCTGAGAAATGCTCCTACATGTGCCATAAACCCAACAGTCGGATATTGTCAAGATACCCCGAGGGCCTGCCCAGTACTGCAACGCCCTATCAACCCAATGACAAGCCCGAGGGCCAAAAACCCGCAAACCTGGCGCTTTGAAATCCGATCTCAGTTTCAGATGTGCGGATGCAGGGAACGCACCGCCAATCATACTAGTCTTACTCTCATACTAGATTTTTCTATACTTACTATTTCCTATTCCTGCTGATTGCGAAATCGCTTCGACTCTCATACGAGCGCACGGCAGACAAGGCAACGGAAGGTCTCGGGTCGTGTTTAGGGATGTTTCGAGTACACAGTGTCGACCTTAGGGTTTAGGGTTTAGGGTTTGATTTTCCCTCCGGTTTCGCATGCGGTTTAGGGTTTAGGATTTAGGGTTTCGGGTTTAGGGTTTAGGGTGTAGGGTAATCGGCAAACCACCTCAAACTCAGGAGAGCCATGGACAAGGCCCAGCAAGTGCCCCACGTTTGCACAACTCCTCCAAATCCACTTTGTCTAGGGCGTGTACTCCTCCATAACCACTTTCGCTGGGGCACATAGACGTTACAGTTGGCTGCGTGATATCCTGCATCCCTTTTCTCGGACCCGCGCCTAAACGCTCAAACGCTCGTCCTCCATGGAACGAACTGGGGCTCGCCCAGCGAAGCAGGCATCCAGGTCCACATGCAGCACTAAATCCTTGCTGGCTCTTCGCTGGGAAGTTGTGATTGGGGGTTTGGGTGCTCCATGAACCCTAAGCCCTAAGCCCTAGACCCGAGGATTTCCGGATTGCCCACCCAAAACCTGTAGCCTTCGTTGTCCTGGCGGCTCTTGGCAGGGAGCTGATGAGGCAACAAAAACTGAGCTTCCTTACCCCCCCCCACCCCCGGTTCTCGCATGTTCCCGCTGTTGGGGCTTAATGGATCATGAGACCGCAAGCTGGAAGCAATCCTGGGGCCGGGGGGGTGGGGGCCAGCCGAGCCGATACATGCCCCCATAGGCCATCTCATGTCTACTTTTGGCTGAAGCCTCAGTCCCTCTTCCCAGCCGGGTTCGGCACGGCAGGCGCAGCTTTGCATACAAAACAGAGAGAGCTCTGTCAAGCGCGCACGCGCGCGCGCCGAGAGCAGACATGCGGACTTTCTGGGGACAGCCCCACACACAAGCCCGCGCGTCACGCGGGGCAGAGTCCCACGCAGCCGTGCACGAGGAGCACAGGCTGCCAAGCCAGTAATTTGAGGGACCCACAATACGACACACATTCAGCCATCCCTCATCCAAGCTGCGTAAGCAACCGCCCTCCAGGCGAAAAGCTTGAAGGTGGTTGCCCAGCCATCACCTTGAAAATCATCCGGGATTGAATGGTCGTTTTGGGCAACTTGGGGCTTCGTTCTGATCACATGCTTTTATTATACTCCTATACGCATCTCTTTTGTTCATGCACTATTACGATGATTATGAGTAGTATTTTTATGTTTATTTTTACTATTACTACTACTATTACTATTGTTGTTATATTGCGAATTTTCTTCTGATTATTATAATTCTTACCATTGTCCTACTATAACCTAGGATTCTAGCTTCGACTCACGCTCGGGCGATCCAGGAGTTCGGTAGTTTGCGGGTGTCGGGTGAGCGTGGGGGCCACTCGATTTGTGGAGATGTGACTGCAAGATTCCAGACCTCAAACTGCCCCATTGCAAGGCCAAGGGGCTCCGTTCCTGGTGCGGGCACAGCTCGCAGCACTTTTGCTTCATGTACTCCACCTGCTGGCCACTGGGATGCAATCGACACCCGAGCTGCTAAGATACGAGCCGACCAGGAGATTCCACGAGATCTTGCCTCCCATAACCCCCCCAGAACTCCCAATCCCGACCCAGTCGCTTCAATCGCGACCCTGGAGCCCACTGAAACCCTAAACCCCGAACCCTATCGAGCCAATCGAAGCCTACAGTGGCAGTGGTGGGGGTGAAACGAGGGCCTCGAAGCCCTGAAGACACAAACCGCCCCAAAGCCCGGAATGATATTGTGTTCGAATAATGTTATATCATTACAAAAACACGAATAAACATACATAGATAAATACGTAAATACATAGATATGAAAAATGCATATATGTATATATACATGTATATGTATACATACTTGTTACTTGTTGCTCTACTTATCTTCACGTATCCAACGATGATTACATCTTTACATTTCTGTGTCCATCTTTGCATTATTAAGTTGATTCTCGTCGAGGGAGGAGCAGCTAAGCAAGGCAGTAAACAGCCCTTGAAGCCATGGAGGGTTTAGGGTCTAGGGTATAGGGTTTAGGGTTTAGGGTGGGTTGAGTAGGGGTTTAAAGGGTTAAGGGGGGGGGGGGGCCTCCTTGGAGTAGTCTTCAATGATGAAACCAAAGCCTGCTTCGGATGCAGGGATCAGTCAGGGTTGCGGGGCGGAGCCCAAACCCTAAACCCTAAACCCTAAACCCTAAACCCCTTAAACCCCTATGAAGCCCCTACAGCCCCTAAAACCCCAAAGCCACATCCTGCTAAAGGAGAGCGCTGCCCCGACACACTTCTGGTGAGATTCATGTAAACTCCAGAAGGTTGGAACATGGCTTAGGATGATTAGAGCTGGGCGATTCCCTGTAGTATGCCTTTTGGCGGCAGTATGGGGGTATAAGGATGTTCCAACTTTTGGGGGGTTTTCTAACCGGTCCTATGGCAGACGAAACCACTGGCCCTGAACCTCCCAAGCATTGTGCAGGCAGAGCGCGCATGAGCATGGTCAGCTCGGAATCCTGTCTTAAAGCCGGGCAGGTCCCTAAACCCTAAGCCTCAGCAATCAAGGTGCTGTAGTCGGGGGTCCGGGCCTGTGACGCACGTGCGCACGACCCTTCAAACACGTCATCAACAGACAAAAGTCTCTCTAGCGGATCAAGACATGAAGGGTATCTTCCCCAACCTTTGTGATAAAACCCTTTTTTGCAACTGGGCTTGAGGACTAGCCAGATTCAAACCCTAAACCCTAACCCTAAACCCTAAACAGACAAGAGCTCTTCCTAGCCCTGAGCTCCCTGACGTCCTGCAAGCCGCCGCCATAGAGAAGATGAAACCTCGCCCAGCATCTGCACTCCAAACCCAGACTCCCGGGAGGCTCCAAAAAGTAGAACCCCCAAATAGTGGTTTAGGGTTTAGGGTGTTAGGTTTAGGGTTTAGGGTTTTTTTTCTCACCCCTTTCGCGGTTTAGGGTTTAGGGTACCCTGTACTACTATCGGGTCAGTCTTAGGAACTCTCAAAGGGACCTACTCTTGGGAAGCTCCCAAAACCCCAGCCTGTAGTCGGCCAGGGAGAGTGTACGTACGATGCACATGAAATCAAGGTACAGCTCCGGCTGCCAGCAGAAACTCCCCACCTCAACCCTAGCTCCCGTAAACCTTTAAACCCCAATTCCCCCAAACCCTTAACCCCAAACCCCTTGAACCCTAATTTCCCCTAAACCCGAAAACCCCAAAACTAAACCCTAAACCCTAAACCTTACCGAGGTGCGGCAGCTCAGACCCCTCCGGCCCCAAGCGATCGGCCGAGCACCTCGGTGTTGGTGGCGTCACTTCGGGACTCAGGACGATTGCACTTGTTTCCTTAGGAGTTTCAGGGGGGTCCTTAGTAGGGGAAGTCTAGGGCCTTAAGTAGACCAGGAATCCCTTAAAGGGTTCGAGAGCGAAGTTGTGCTTCATCGTAAGCCCCTACTCAGCACCAACTTCGGTGAAGGTTGCGGCCGAAGGGCAAAGGGTGCCGGGTTTAGGGTTTACTGTTTAGGCCCGCAGATTCTGGTGTAGGCCCATGGCTTGGCTTCTTTAAGTGGGGCTCTACACTTTTAGTTTCAGAGGTGTCCCCAACCCCTTATAAATAGGAGACAAGCATGCCAGGTACTGTGGTGGCGTCGGAGAAACTCAACCATGCGATTGCTGTCATGAAACACCCTTCATTTAGGAACAAAGACCCGATCATGGAATGTGAGAATGAGATGTCCTCAGCGGCTTAGCCTACGGGGTCTTGGGGGCGAGTAGGTTATAAGTACCCTAAGTGGGGTTAGAAGTAAAACATACCATACTGCTCACCCTACTTGAAACATGAACCTCCAAGCACAGAGGCGGGCCACTTCAGGCGCATGGCGTCTAGAGGGAAGTTCTGCGCCTTGTAGTGGTCCTTCATGCGTGTCGCGCGCACGCGCAAGGTTGGAATCTAATGGGCGCTCCTGCACAGCAAGCAAGGTAGCGAAGGCGCGGGCCAAACACCACAGCTACCTGCTGAATCTTCACCCGGCACTCTCTGGCAAAAGCCTCTCACACATGTCCACCTACGTCCTGCCAGCTCGCCTGCCCAAAAACTTCCCCCCACAAAAACATCGAGCCGGGTCCCAATAACTGTGAGCCTGTTGAGGTTAGTAGCTTTTCCAGGCCCAGCTCAGGGTATTTTAGGGTGCTTGCGGGGGAGGTCCTCGGTCTCCACCAGCGTGGCAAACCTTGGACCCAAGAACGTGGCGGGGGAGCGCATCTCTTCCACATGGGCAAGCTGGTGCCGCATTTCGCCCCCCCTAGACATTGCAGGGCTTCTTCAGATTTCGTTGGGGCTGGTTAGCATGGGGGTTCTCGTGCATCTAATTGCAGAGAAGGTCACTGGCTGACGCAGCCAGGGCGTGGCCCCTTTTTCTCTACATCCTAGGCCGAAACCTGGCACCCCTGATGGGACCCTACATGCGAAACCCGAAGCCCACCTTGAATCAAGGGTTCCAGGGTCGTATACCTAGAAGGCTCCCCCAAAATAACCTTTAGATGACTTGTATGTGCACCAGATGAATCCCAGAACCCGGGGAGACAACCTTAGCGATACCCCCAAACATGCCCGGGGCGCAGTGCGAAGCGCCGCTTGGCCCCACTTCTCGCTGGCAAGGGGAAGTCATGGGGTGCCTGGGAGGTTTGAGGGGTTCGGGGTGCAGGACTTGGGGCTTCAGGGCCAAGGGTTCATTAAAGGGCCCATACTAAGGGACCGTGTAACTACCCATACTATAGGGCAAAAAGGATTTGAAGGCCTTAGTCGCTCAAGGTTCTAGGGAACTTTTGGCTTCGACGACACTCGAGAGAAGGCTCCAAAAACTGCCCAATCGCATCAACCAACCCCCATAAATCATGGGGTCAAGGAGGAGAGAGCTGGCTAAGCTATGGGTTCCTGGAGGTTCATGGGTAGCATAAGTAGGGTTCCGCACTATGGTAAGTATCCCCTATCACCCTGAACCCTAAACCCTAAACCCTAAACCCACTTAGGGTACGTATACCCCTACATAATAGCTACCCATGAACCTCCAAGTTGTGTTGGGGGGCGCACGGGGCTCAGGCTGCCAAAGTCGAAGAAACCCGGGACCCCTCAATAGAACCCTAAACCCTAAACCCTAAACCCTAAACCCTAAACCCTAAACCCTAAACCCTAAACCCTAAACCCTAAACCCTAAACCCTAAACCCTAAACCCTAAACCCTAAACCCTAAACCCTAACCCTAAACCCTAAACCCTAAACCCTAAACCCTAAACCCTAAACCCTAAACCCTAAACCCTAAACCCTAAACCCTAAACCCTAAACCCTAAACCCTAAACCCTAAACCCTAAACCCTAAACCCTAAACCCTAAACCCTAAACCCTAAACCCTAACCCTAAACCCTAGCCCCGAAGTCCCCAAACCCTAAGGACCTATGTATCCCAAAATGCAGCCGACGGCTCGGCGAGGGGCCGCGCCCCGTAGCGGGCAGGCATCGGCCTCTTCTTTACGTTGTACAAAGCACCTATAGGGTTTAGGGTTTAGGGTTTAGGGTTTAGGGTTTAGGGTTTAGGGTTTAGGGTTTAGGGTTTAGGGTTTAGGGTTTCGACTCTCACGACTAGCGCACGCCAGGGTTTAGGGCTTAAGGTTATCGAAAAAATGGGCAGTTTAGGGTTTAGGGTTATAGGGTTATGGGGCTTAGGGCACTTTGCGATTTAGGGTTTCAGCCTGGCCAATGTTTTCCTAGCATCCGTGACACACACACACACCTCTCAGAACGAGAAGACACAGATGCCTGACACTCAGCAACTGTTCCGATAACTTACTTTGCACATAACTCCTTGTTGCATTTGCTGGGCTTGCCTGAGTTTTTTGAGATCAACAAGCCAGGGCATGTCTTCCTTTTGCACATAAATCGAATAAAGGTAGCGTGGTCATTAGATTCAATGGCCACCAGTGACATTTTGTTGCTATGTGAAAAGTGGTGCCAAGTGTCCCGAACCTTTTCCTACGGACGTTCGTGCAGTCGACACGTGCTTCAAGGTGGCTGTGAGTTGAAAACATTGCGAGTACGCATGGAACCATCGCAAAGGACGCCTCGTTCCCTTACTTCGGAAACTGAATTTACGATCCTGACCAACTCAAGAGATGGTTCAAGATGCTTTGCACTGAGTTCGACCCTGGTCCCATTGCGTGCAGGGGGCATTCAGAGGTTGGGAGCCTCGTAGATGTTGCGAGACTGGTTTGAGGATTCGGGCCTGAGGGTTTGCAAGAAACTAGGATTCAGAGCACCGTGGCGAAGCTGTAACACCTAAAAGCGCTGCTGACATCCCTTGACCCACCTCCAGACCAGTGCCCTGTGGAGCATGGCAGTGAGCATCTTGCTGTTCGCCTCACGGTCACGAAGTGAGGTAAGGAGAGCCAAGAGAGCTTGCCCAGCTGTTCTTGAAACCCGCTACCCCTTGAATAAGCATGAACATACCATGCTAACGATCCCGAATATAATTTAAGGCATATTCCTTAACTGAAGGGTATAGAGGGCTCTCTGGGCCCTTTCCACGATCAGGCTACTTCTGGTGGCTCGGACCTCCCCCCGGCATGTGGCCATGCCCGGAGACCCCTCTACATCCCTTAAAGAAGGAGAAACACCTCTAAGTAAGGTTTAAAAAAAAGCCTTAAATTATGTAGGGGACCATACTATGGAATAAAGGTATACTCCTGAGTTAAGGGGTGCAGAGGGCTCTCTCTGGGTGCCGCCGTCCCCCACCTCCGTGATGCCCAGGGCCGCGTTGTAGACCTTGCTTGGAGGTTCATGGGTACTTCTACCCAAAGAGACCAAGACGCCGTAACCAAGGAATATACCCCGAATCATATGAAGGATCCCTATATTAGGGGTATATTCCTTTTTAGGGGGTAGTGGGGCTCTTTGGGCAAAGTGGGTTATAAGTTCCCAAAGTGGGGTGATAAGGTATAAGTACCGTACTTACAACCCTACTTATTAACTACCCCCATGAACCTCCAAGTTGCAACTCCAGATCACACCGAGGGTTGGATACGGGCCCATGTGGGATCATATGGGGGTTTCCGAAAGTCTGGGGGTGCCTTCTTGAGGGGGTCCTTGCTATCAGGGGAAACCCCCCCATATTCTGCACCCGTGGCCCCACACAGCCCGCGTTTTCCTAAGGGGCAGGGTTTAGGGTTTCCGACTCTCACACTGGCATAAGCGGGCGAAGGGTTTAGGGTTTAGGGTTTAGGGTTTAGGGTTTAGGGTTTAGGGTTTAGGGTTTAGGGTTTAGGGTTTAGGGTTTAGGGTTGGGGCCAGGAGGCGACATCCTCCAGCGAGCCCACGGCACGCAGGGCCGGGTGGCAGAAGGGGGCGAAGACAGCCACCGAAGCGGCCCTGCTCTTTAAGACGTGGGCTCTGCTTGCCTTGTGGGATTTTACTCCCCGGCCCCCCTCTGAGCCCTGAGCGCTTCACTTTTTTTTTCGGGCTTCTTTAGCTTCTAGGTGGAAGGGATGATGGGGCAATGATGTTCGAGATGATCTCAAACGTGCTTCGGCCTGGGTCGGGAATTTCGAAGCTCCAAGAAAGGCCCCAAAAGCTTCAAAAAGCAGAACGGCCTTTAGAGAGTTCTCATGCAAGCAAACCTCACGAGGTCCCAAGCACACCATGGTGCACACACCTCCATGAACCCTAAACCCCAAACCCAGAATTCTTCCTGTCCTGCCGCGCTTGTGCAGGGCCTTCGCTGCCTCCCCACGTGCCAAGAAATGCTCGGCCTCAGCCCAGCTCGTGAAAACCCCCACCAGACAGCGTTCTGTAGGCATTGGAAACCCGAAATCTCACCTGTAGGCCTGTTGCAGGTCACTTTCGGGTGGCCGTAAAAAACCCATCAAGGCGCCCGAGGCCCTTATCGTCCCTTATGAAAGGGGGTGCGTAAGGCTATCCTGCACGTGCGTGCCTTTTAAACAGATTTGTTTTCAAGGAAACAGCCGCAGAGTAGACGCAACACGCCCGCAGAATAGACGCAACGCACGTGGAGGGCGCTCGTTAGGGCGCGGAGGGCGCGGAGTGCTCGGAGAACGCGCTAATTGGAGGGCGCGTGGAGGGCGCGGAGCACGCCGCCCGTGACGCTCCGTCAACCGGCTATATCGCGCTCTGAACCCCTTGTCCACGTGTACCTCGCTCCCCTGCCCGTCAACCGATGTCACACTCCCCGTCCGCGCTCCCCCCTCCCTGTCCTTATCCTCCCCCCAAAAATATTAAAACCTTGCATCCGCCGCACATCGTGCTTCCCCCATGGTCCAGGTTTCCTCACGCCCCTCTCCCCCACAAAATATTCCGACCCCCTTCCCTTGACCGTGTGCTCTCCGTGGCCTAATATTCATTCCGTCTGACCCTCCGTTGACCGTCTCCTCTTCGTGGCTTCTTCCGTCAGAACGCGAGCCGATAGCGCGCCTTCTGTGCCGAAGCGCTGAAAGAGAACCCAACCCCAGAAAGGTTTTCGGGAACTAGCTAAGAAATCAACGAGCATGGGTGTAGGTGTCCACGGCTCTGGGGCCAACCGCTTTATCTGAACCCTTATGATCCCCCGAAGCTTGCAAACCCTCTGGAGGTAGAAGCCCTAAGTAGGGATCCGACTTCTTGAAAAGACCTGAAACGCGTCTTTGGGGGCTTCGGAATTGAAGGTTGCGGGATGTTGCGGGTGGTCGGCGGGTACATCTTCCTGACCGGGCTCTGCGAAAGCTGCGACTGCTGTTTTCGGGGCGAAGATCCGGTTGTCGGACCTTTTTTGCCTAAACCCCAAACCCCCCAAGTCAGAATCCCCATTGCCCCCCCCCCCCCGCCCCCCCTCCCCCCTTCCCAATTTCATGGCAGGGCCCCCGGCGCACAGCAGGTGTGCGAGGACCTGGCCGAGACTGTGACACTGTGAGGAGTTGCGCCCTGCAACGAAAAACGAAAGGGTTTTGGGATTTATAGCCTAGGGCACAAAAGTTTCACAAGCCTGTTTGAGTCGGGGGTCCCCTCTCATATCTGGACAAGACGGGTGAGATCAGGTGTGTTTAACAACATGAAAGGCTAGCTACAGAACATCTGTACAGGCACGGCTGGTTACAGTCATCCCAGCGAGATGAAATGTGAGTCGGTTCTACCCTTGTCTTGAAGCCAGGCTCTTCCCTAAACCCTAAACCCCTCCTAGGACTCAAACCCTTCGCTTTTCGGGCGCAAGGCGAGGATGTCACCTAGACCGCAGAAGAAGCCCATTTCACCATGAACCGGTCCCCTTTCCCAAACTCCTACAGTCCCCCCAAAACCCAAATAAACCTAAAGCCTTGGCCCAAAACCCTAAACACCTCGTAACCCCAACAGCCCAAGCCCCCTAAGGGAAGCGAAGGTAGGGCAGGAGGTGCCCCAGTTGATCTTCCTCTGGCCTGCACATCGTCGCAGGTGGCTTCGAAGGCACAGCTCTTCCTCGGACTTGGGTTGAAAAGGCTTCAGATGTTAGGGTTTAGGAAGTTTAGGGTTTAGGGTTGCATGGCTTCAGCAGGGCTTCGAGGATCTCTGAAGCTCAGGTTCTAGGCTTATCGGCGTGGGGCCGCGGCTATGGGAACTGCTTGGGCTTGGGTTCCTTGACTGTACTTGATGAACTTGAGCTGCCCAACTGTGAACTCAGTGTAAGTTCGGGCACGCATGCTGCACATGCTGCACCTGGGGCGCTTTTGCTTTTGCAGAGAACCGCTATAGAACATCCCAAGCGCCTGGTCTCGCAGCAAAGAGCTCATCGTGCAAAGAAAGGCAATCCCACAAAGCAAGACAGGCCAATGCTGGAAACAAGCGCGGATTCGTGGCCTCCGAGAGATTTCCAGGGAGGCCCACACACACGGATACTTTGAATTCGCTTCAAACACTGCAAGAGCCGCTCTCAGCCGTCGTACTCGCCCTCCTCCTCGTCGAATTCACCCTCTTCTTCAGCGGTTGCATCCTGGTACTGCTGGTACTCAGAAACCTTGGTTGCTGCGTAACCCCCCAATAAAAAAGTTTAACTTTTATAGCTCCCTTAATATGAAATTAGAGGAACCCTAAACCATTAAAAGTGATAAAGTTGTAGTAAAGGGAACCCTAAACTTAAAAAGTGATAAAGCTTGTAGTAAAGTCCCAGAAACCAGGTCGTTCATGTTCGACTCGGCTTCGGTGAACTCCATCTCGTCCATGCCTGGGTTCTCGGACTTAACATCCCATCACCGAGATGCGCCTTAAGGGACCTCACTTAAGGCCCTCCCGAGGGTTTTAGGGTTTAGGGTTTAGGGCTACTGAAAAAGCCTGCCGATTGTGGCATGTCTGGGCCGGGCCTTCACCGGTGTACCAGTGCAGGAAGGCCTTGCGGCGGAACATGGCCGTGAAGTACTCCGCCACGCGCTTGAACATCTCCTGGATGGCCGTGGAGTTGCCGGCGAAGGCCACCGCCATCTTGAGCCCCTTGCCAGGGCTGCGGTGGTAATATAGGGGCCTGCATAATTAGAATAGGGTTTTGAGGGTAAATATAGTATAGCATTATCATAAAGGGACCCCAAGACTATTGGTAATTGTTCCGACCCCTATATCACACACAAGCGCATGCAACAGCGGGACCCTTTCTCCTACATAATTTGTTGCATGAACCAGTCTCTTCGGTCGTAACACAGTCGTTAACAACGCATTGCCCCACGAAGCACATGCGCCTTAGGTGGAATGTCGCAGACTGACGCCTTGATGTTGTTGGGGATCCACTCCTCAGCGCACAACGACCCCGGCTGCGTCTACCAATTTGCGAAACTAAACTCTCCGAGTCCCTGAATTTCTCTCGCTTCACCGTGATTAGGTTGCAGAACCCCCCGTGCCGTGCACATGGGCTTCGGCTGCCGTGTTGCAGTCTATTATACGAATATTCAACCACGGCCGAGACACCACAAAGTACGAGGAGTTCTTGTTCTGGACATTGAGCATCTGCTCATCTACCTGCAGGTCTGCAAGTGAAGCAAGATGACACGGTCTTCACTCCACCATCACCATACAGGAAAACATCCTGTCTTGTTATTGAACCAACAGGATCACGCATGCGGACGTTGAAGAAGCAAGTCGTGCTGAACAAACATCGCACGACAGTCTGTCTCTCACACAATTCCACCCTAAACCCTAAACCCTAAACCGTAAACCCCAAACCCTAAAATGTTAGGGGCCTCCTTGGTCGACATGCGCCCTCGGAAGAGCGCCGCGGCCGTCAAGTAGCGCCCGTGGCGAGGATCCGCCGCGCACATCATGTTCTTCGCGTCGAACCTGGGTCATGGACGGAACCGACTCGGCCAGCGGACGGTGACGTAAGACAAGTTGGATACTTACGCTTAACTTGGTAGCGTAAGTAACTCATGTTATACTAAGAGTACCCTTCTTTAGGTTGGTTAAACAAGGCAAAAGGGTATCACTGGGCTACCACCTTGGTGCTGTAAAGACCCAGGGGCATTTGTTGAGTCAACTCAGGCACCGTCAGGGCACGGTACTGCTGAGAGCCACGGGAGGTCAACGGGGCGAAGCCGGTCATGAAGAAGTGCAGGCGCGGGAAGGGCACAAGGTTCACAGCAATCCTGGGTTTGTTTTGCGAAAGCGGGTGGTGGAGAATGCTCTCTAGGATGCTGCAGGATTTGCAACCGCTCAAGGGTCTAGAAGTGGGTAGTCGAGAGGCTTGCGTAAGTCGCAGTTCAGCTGGCCGGGGAAGCGGAGGCAGCAGGTCACGCCGCTCATGGCAGCGGAGACCAAGTGGTTGAGGTCGCCATACGTGGGTGTAGTCAACTTGAGAGTTCCTGGTGCACATCCCGACTCCTCTAAAAATGGTGTACATGCAGGCATATGTGAAGAGTGCATGAGGGCTGCACGCAACCGCTGCCACACATGGCGGCCGAGGATCGGAAGCAGATATCATACAGGGCCTCGTTGTCCAACAAGAAGGACTCATCAGAGTTCTCCACCAGCTGGTGGAAGCTCAACACCGCATTGTACGGTTCGACCACGGTGTCGGACACCTTTGGCGAAGGGATCACGGAGAAGGTCTCCATGATACGATCAGGGTACCTGAGCCCGACACATACATTTACGTGTGTATATGATTGTACCTTGACAGATGTTGTGATGGGGAAGGGATCCTTCACAAGACTGAACTCAAATCCGCTCACAACTGCCGTCGGGGGACTCTTCACGCACCTTCGAGATGAGAAGCGTGCCCATGCCTGCACCAGTGCCGCCGCCAAGGGAATGGCAAAGCTGGAAGCCTTGAAGGCAATCGCATCCCTCAGCCTGCGCATCACGTCACGCTGAGGCTTCCCTTTATTAGAACATCCGAGCCCCCTGTGGGGCTATGGGCGGGGCAGCTTGTGCTTCGGCTTGAGGCAAGATCTACTGCAAGTAACCAGCGCGTGTTGGGCCACCCCCCCCCCCAACCACCCACCCACACACGTTCTATCTCTGCATCCTTCTCCCTTCTTCTGCACCTGTCAGCCCTTCCGGCCGCGACTGCCAAGCGGAATTCCATCCTTCTCCATCTCTCGCTCGCTCGCTCTCTTCTTCTTCCTTCTCCTCGCTCGCTCTCTTCTTCTTCTTCTTCTTCTGCAGGGCATGGCCCCTCGCGCCTAGGCGCGCCCAGTCGCACGTCCATCGTGAAACTCCGTCTCGCTCTTCCCCAGTGTGAGAATGCCCGGAGGTTGTGACTGAAGAACACCGCAACAAGTTTACCGCACCCAGTATTGCTAGTACCTCTGCTTCCTCCTTTTGGGCTCCTTCCATGTTGGAACTAGTGCTGTTGACTTCTCCGGGGTTCGCTCGCTCTCTCTCTCGCTCTCTCTCTCTCTCTCTCTCTCTTTCTTCTCTCCTCTCTCTCTCCTCTCTCTCTCCTCTCTCTCTCCTCTCTCTCTCCTCTCTCTCTCCTCTCTCTCTCCTCTCTCTCTCCTCTCTCTCTCCTCTCTCTCTCCTCTCTCTCTCCTCTCTCTCTCCTCTCTCTCTCCTCTCTCTCTCCTCTCTCTCTCCTCTCTGTCTCTCTCTCTCTCTTTCTTTCTCTCTCTCTCTCTCTCTCTCTCTCTCTCTCCTCTCTCTCTCTCTCTCTCTCCTCTCTCTCTCTCTCTCCCTCTCTCCTCTCTCTCTCCCTCTCTCTCTCTCTCCTCCCTCTCGCTCTCTCTCTCTCTCCTCTCTCTCTCTCTCTCTCCTCTCTCTCTCCTCTCTCTCTCCTCTCTCTCCTCTCTCTCTCCTCTCTCTCTCTCTCTCTCTTCTCTCTCCTTCTCTCTCTGCTCTCTCTTCTCTCTCTCTCTCTCTCTTTCTTCTTCCTCTTTCTCTCTTCTCTCTCTCTCTTCTTCTCTCTTCTCTCTCTCTTCTCTCTCTCTCTCTCTCTCTCTCTCTCTCTCTCTCTCTCTCTCTTCTCTCTCTCTCTTCTCTCTCTTCTCTCTCTCTTCTTCTCTCTCTCTCTCTCTCTCTCTCTATTCTCTCTCGTCCTCTCTTCTTCTTTCTTCTTCTTCTTCTTCTTCTTCTTCTTCTTCTTCTTCTTCTTCTTCTTCTTCTACAGGCCTTAAGGGGCCAGCAGAAGAAACTCTCTCTCTCTCTCTCTCTCTTCTTTCTTTGGGGGATGAGGGCCGGGGACCTCGCGCGTCCGTCTTCTCCCCCTCTCTCTCACTCATTCTCCTCATCCTCCTCCTCCTCCTCCTCCTCCTCCTCCTCCTCCTCCTCCTCCTCCTCCTCCTCCTCCTCCTGTTTCTTCTTCTTCCCCTTCTTATTAGTATTCTTATTCTTCTTCTTATTCTTTTTATTCTTTGATTTTTGCTTCTTCGTATTCTTATTATTCTTCTGTTTCTTATTATTCTTGTTTTGATGCTTCTTCTTGTTCTTATTCTTATTATTCTTATTATTTTGCTTCTTCGTCTTCTTATTATTCGTATTATGATTCTTCTTATTCTGCTGCTTCTTCTTCTCATTTTGTGACTATTCTTCTTCTGCGTCTTCTTCTTCTTATGATTATTGTTGTTTTGCTTCTTCGTCTTCTATGTAACTCTTCTTATGATTCTTATTAGTCTGTTTCTTCTTCTTGTTGTTCTTATATTTGCTTCTTCTTCTTCTTAGTCTTTTTATTCTTTGTATTCTTCTTATTATTATTTTGTTGATTATTTTTCTTCTAATTATTCTTCTTCTAATTATTCTTCTTCTGCTTCTTCTTATTCTGCTTCTTCTTATTCTGCTTCTGCTTCTTCTTCTTCTTCTTATTCTTCTTCTTCTTCTTCTTCTTATTCTTCTTATGCTTCTTCTGCTGCTGCTGCTGCTTCTCGGCTCAGGGGGGCCGCCCGAAAGCGAGCGTCCAAACCGAGTTCGCCTCTGAGACTTTCCCCCTGGACTTCCTGGAAACCTCCCAACATTGTAACCAACCCCACAACCCGGTTCCCCATCCGTCCCTAGGGTTTAGGGTTTCGGGTGGGTAGCTAGCCGATGCCTTCCATTACCACTTTCTCCCCATTCAAGACGAGCGATAGCATCCGAATGAGAAACCACTGCTCACTAGCGGGCTGGTCTTGGAGTCCTGTTTGGGGGCATTGTCTCCTAAAGCCGACTGACGAAACCATCAAGGAATGCGGCCGCCTCTTTGCGCACGACATCAAGGACCGAGTCGATCAACTCGGCACCCTCCGTGTAGTGGCCCTGACGACATCAGAAGCGAAGCTACACAACCTCCACTCACTGCAACACTAGCTACCGCATCGGGAACACACAGCGAATCACTTGCGCAAGCCCTCTTGATGTGGCCTTAGCCCAGTTATTCCCTGCGCCGGTTTGACCGAACACGAAGTTGTCCGGACGGAAGAGCTGACCGAAAGGTCCGGCTCGAACACTGTCCATGGTTCCTGGCGGCGCCGTATTTTGAAACTACCGTACTCCCAGACAAAATGTCCGTGTGGCTAGTTATGCTGTCGAATACATGCCACGATGGTAGTGCGCCGCACCGGGCACACAACCTAACTGTGCATGAACAGGGATCAAGCAAGCCTGGCTCCAAATCCATGAGCACGGCACGAGGGACATAGCGTCCGCCAGTAGCCTAGCTGAACAAGACACGTGTGGATAGACTAGTGATAGACTGAGTCAGGCGGAAGCCGCCGTGCGCTCGCGAGGCTAAGGACATTCATGAGAGCAAAATGTTTTGCCACGAAGTCGCCTCATTGAAGTAGACATTGATACCTGGAGCAAGCGTTGCAGCCGAACACTGCCCTAAAACAGCCAAGCCAAGCAAAATACTTAAAGATGTGGGCCTCCCACCATCGGCTCAGATTCTCGAGATAACAGACACATGGCAAAAACTGGCCGCAACAGCAAAAAAACAACTATATATGTATATGTGTATATATATATACATTCTTTCCCTATAAGGGTAATAGAGGGCTTCTTATCTCCTTTTTGCGGGGTGGGGGGGTGTTCTTGTGCTACGAGTGCGACCGGACCACGCTCGAGCTGGAGATCGGAGTCGCCATGATAGGTTCCCGTTGGGTCGATGCCGTGCTCGTCGGCAATGACCTACTGTGGCACACTTTCCGTAAGCCGTAAGCTCTCAAGTAGCAAGCTTGTGATGAAGAGCTAACAGTTATATGTAATATATCAATATGTAAACGTAGGATGCTAATATATAACGGGATATGTTGCCCGTAAGCCCTGAAGTAGCACGCTTGCGATAGAAGTTCATAGAAATATATCATGTATCAGTATAGGGTGCTAATGTAGCTGAACTTCAATCTCATATTAAGAGATATTCAATGTTAAAAATTCGTATTCATCAGAGTTCATACGAATTTTCATAATAATGTGAATTAATATTCATATGGCTTAGTATATCAACATAAAATGATCTTCACAATGAAATAGTATGTCAAGCTCATCGGGCGGTGACCTCCCAGAACTTCGCTCCGATCTGGTTTCCGCACCTATGTTGCACAGAAAAAGGCTTTAGGGCGGTTTGGGGTTTGGGGTTAACTCCCAACCTGAAGCGTCAAGATTTCGTAAGATCAACAAGCTCCGAGCACACCACTGCGGAACCCAGGCACTGTCCTCCCTGAACGTGCACGAGCTCACGCATGGTTCTGAAGGAGAATCCGACCTTGGTCGTTCGACTGAGGGTTCAGGGTTTCGGGGCTGACGTCGAGGCCGCAGTATCGAAGTGCGGCGGGTGCGATACTGTATACAATATACAGACACCGACCGGCATCCGCCTCATCAACCAGACTGAGCACGACTTTCGACTACGTCGCGCGCGCAACTGCTCAACAACGCCCGAGCGGCAAATATGGGCGGGAGGTGGCGCAAAGCTCTGCTTTGGGGGGCGCACGGCTGCGGGCGGGCATCACACAACCCAAGCGTCATGGGCCCGTAGCGGCCTGTAGGAGGTCAGCACATGCATGGCAAAGGGGCAGTCGACTGGTGATGCCGCTTGCTTAGGGCACTAAAGCCTGAACCCTAAACCCTAATCCCTTCTTGAACCCACACCAAATCAGCTGGGGCCATGCAAGCCCCAAACCCTAAACCTTATAACCCTTCTTTTGCAACGGGCTTTTAGTCCGACCGGCTTGGGGAAACCCTAAACCCCAAACCCTTTTTACGGCCAGGACTGCTGCACTGCCTGCCTGGGACGAAACCAAACCCTAAACCCTAAACCCTAAACCCTAAACCCTAAACCCTAAACCTAAACCCTAAACCCCAAACCCGTCAAAATCCTCAACCTCTTCAGCAGGAAGAGCGGCTCAAGACTGCCGAGGCTCGCCAAGATGTTCGTGAGGCGAGGGTCATCGAAGTCCAGAAAGGAAATCCTGGAGGAGAAACATATTGTTACGACTATTACCATTATTATTTATTTTTTTGAAGTATGATTATTACTTATTGTTATTATCAATATGATTACTATTACTATTCTTCTTTTCATTATTATGGAATATATATATATATATATATATATCTTACATATGTATCTTGGTAGCCCAGTAACCATCTCATCATAAGGGTACCCTTTTTGGGGTTGGTTACTTTAGAAGGGAAGCCAGAACCCAAAAAAAATTGGTAAAGGGTACCACTGGGCTACCAACATAAATATTTATATAGACATACCACATGGATGTCTTTGTGTGCCTTTGGTTCGTCACTGGGCTGCCCTAAACCCTAAACCCTAAACCCTAAACCCTAAACCCTAAACCCTAAACCCTAAACCCTGGCTACCGGGGAGGTCCAGTCAGCCACGGCCCAGTCAGAGACGGGCATCTCCTGGAGCAGCCGCAGGACCTGAGAACCCTTCTTCAACGAAGGTTTAGGGTTTAGGGTTTAGGGTTTTTGGGTTTAGGGTTTAGGGTTTGGGATTTAACCCTAAACCCTAAACCCGAAAAATGCAACTGGGCGGGCATGGTCGCAAAGAGCTTGTGCCCTGCATGCAGTCGTGAAATGGGTCTGTAGTTGTTCCTTTTTCTTCGCTTGCGGTAGAAACGTCCAGCCCAGAGTAGTTCCAAGCTACGACTGTTGTTTTGAATGTCAACTCGGAGCCGGGATCCTCTGAATCAAGTGAGTCAGGGACATGCACGTAAATATGAGCTGGCCACGGTAGCAAAGCCTTGGGAATCCGACTCCGTTCTAACGAAGGGCTTTAGCCTCAAACAGCCAGTCCGCATGTTACGAGCACTCGGCTGATGCACGGGACCGCTGATGTTGGGGAAGTTAAAAGCGACTGGCAGGGCTCCAACGCCGGACACGGTTAAATTCAGCGTGTTGACTGTGACTATGCTACATTCTCTACACTCTCTACACGACAACTTAGGGGAGTGTGCCTGCATCTGGGCACAACCAGTCGCACAAAGAGTTTCTGAATGTCGTCACACTCGCTCTAGCTGCTCAAGTAAGTAGGTTTGCTGCCATCATCATCGTACTTGCGGCGGCGGCCCCCATCCTTGCCATCATCCTTGCTGCCATCGTCGTCCTTGCGGCGGCGACGGCCTCCATCCTTGCCATCATCATCCTTGCCGCCATCGTCGTCCTTGCGGCCGGGGCGACGGCCTCCATCACTGTCGTCGTCCTTGCGACGGCGACGGCCTCCATCCTTGCCATCGTCATCCTTACTGCCATCGTCGTCCTTGCGGCGTCGACGCCCTCCATCACCATCGTCGTCCTTGCGACGGCGACGGCCTCCATCCTTGCCATCATCATCCTTGCTGCCATCGTCGTCCTTGCGGCGGCGACGGCCTCCATCCTTGCCATCATCATCCTTGCCGCCATCGTCGTCCTTGCGGCCGGGGCGACGGCCTCCATCACTGTCGTCGTCCTTGCGACGGCGACGGCCTCCATCCTTGCCATCGTCATCCTTACTGCCATCGTCGTCCTTGCGGCCGGGGCGACGGCCTCCATCTTTGTCGTCGTCCTTGCGGCCGGGGCGACGGCCTCCATCTTTGTCGTCGTCCTTGCGGCGGCCTCCATCTTTGTCGTCGTCCTTGCGGCGGCCTCCATCTTTGTCGTCGTCCTTGCGGCGGCCTCCATCTTTGTCGTCGTCCTTGCGGCGGCCGCCATCTTTGTCGTCGTCCTTGCGTCGGCCTCCATCTTTGTCGTCGTCCTTGCGGCGGCCTCCATCTTTGTCGTCGTCCTTGCGGCGGCCTCCATCTTTGTCGTCGTCCTTGCGGCGGGGGCGGCGACCTCCATCACTGTCGTCGTCCTTGCGGCGGCGGCGTTTGCCATCGTCCTTGTCGTCGTCAAGGTCGTCATCATCGTCTGGAGGCTGCACGGGGGGCTTGGTGGTTTGGTACTGCTTCACGGTGGTGGTTGGCTCCTCGGTGGTCGCAGGCTCCTCCGTGGTCGTGGTTTTGTACTGCTTCACGGTGGTGGTTGCCTTTTCGGTGGTCGTGGTTTTGTACTGCTTCTCGGTGGTGGTTGGCTTCTCGGTGGTTGTGGGCTCCTCGGTGGTCGTGGTTTTGTACTGCTTCTCGGTGGTGGTTGGCTTCTCGGTGGTTGTGGGCTCCTCGGTGGTCGTGGTTTTGTACTGCTTCTCGGTGGTGGTTTTGTACTGCTTCTCGGTGGTCGTGGGCTCCTCGGTGGTCTCGGGCTCTTCGGTGGTCGTGTCGTCGCCCCCTGGGTGGCATGCGTCGCAGTACTCGCCCAAAGCATCCACGATGACATCCACGCAGCCATGGCACTTGGACAGACATTGGTCCTGGTTGTCCCCTGTTGCCCCTAACGCCTCACAGAAGCTCGAGCACACGTCGTCTTCCGTAAGGCAACCCCCCCGCTTTGTGGTGTTCACCTGGGCCGCCAAGATCTTGCCTTCCCGGGTAGGTTTCTGCAGCAAGCCCGCAGCTTCAGACTCCTGGATGAAGCAAAGGTCCTTCGAACAAAAATCTTGTCCGGCGGCCATCATGCCCGCCACAATGTTCTTGTGCCGTCCACAGTGCTTCACCAAACACCAATTTGCGGACTTCGCATTTGGCAGCATGTCCTGGGAGCACATAATGCGGCAGACCCATTTGGACGAATCGCACGTCTTCTCGCCGGCATGGAAACCGATGGCCGGGCAAGTTCGGGCCAGGGATGGGACGAGCCACGTGAGCAGAAGAGCGATCTCACGCCTCATGATGCCGGACGATCTCTACAACGGCGGCTAGAGGTGTGATCTGAGAGCTTGGGCCAAAATGGCCCGATAAAACCCTAAGCCCCAAAGCCGCTGAGTTTCGGATTTCGAGCTCATCCAAGCATCACTCTCATCAGCCAGAATGCACACAAGAGTCATGGCAACAACACCTTGAAAAGCGCATTTTCGGAAATTTGGCCCTTTCCGGCACGAGCCTAGAACACATGAGCCCCACATGCAGCACAAGGGTCTTGAGCTCCACTGAACACGCCTACTTAAGAAGCAGCTTAGCGTCTTCAGGACTTCGAAGCGGTTCTTTTTACGATGCACGACTGAAGCCCTAGCCGAGCGCGCGCACAGGCCGCGGACAACGGCGCAAAACGCCACAGCACCGCTGAAGACCCCTGGGCTCCAAGCCGGGGTGAGGACGCTCTCCGGCTCCTGCTGAGTTTCCATGTCTCAGCCACCGCGCAAGCATTCAAACAACCATCTACATGTATTTACATATGCTATATTATATGAACTTCTTTATCTATCGAAATATATATATATATATGTACATATATACCTATATTCGATGGGCAACGGGCGCTTCCAGCAAGGAAACCGCTTCGAACAATCAGAAGCAGCATCTTCTTAGACATGCTGAAGGAGATGATGAAAAAAAGGAAGAGGAGAACAGAGCTGAAGAAGAAGACAAGTAATACCCAAGGACATGAAGTACTTGCTACGAGCAAGAACACAAACGCGCAAAAACAACTCTAAGGTCAGTACAGGTACAGTCGTGCAAGGGTTCGGCGGAACATGTGGCTGGGGGCCCTCACGTCTTACTGTTGTCACAGTCAAACCACACACCAGAATCCTACGAACAGCGATACAGAAGGGCCCAAACCAAGTCCTGGCAGTGGCAGCTTCCAGCCACACCATGTTTCACCTGCTGCGGGCGTGGTGTTTTAGCGGGGCATGGGGTTTTGGGGTCACATTCAGGATGCTACACTACCGCAAAATACCCACAACTTGTTGGAGCTTGCGTGCTGGATCACTAAGGCTCGGGCACGCTGAAGCTCCCTCTATCGCACCGCGCTCCGAGGTTGTGGGGTTTGGTTCGGAAGGGTTTAGGGTTCAGGGTGAAGGCCCTAAACCCTAAACCCAGGGTTGCGGCAGCGTGGACTCAGGGCCCGCACTTCAAGTTACGGTGGGCCGCAGATGCTGGATGGACTCTAGACCCTTTTGACACGGCGAGCTAAACCCTAAACCCTAAACCCTAAACCCTAAACCCTAAACCCTAAACCCTAAACCCTAAACCCTAAACCCTAAACCCTAAACCCTAAACCCTAAACCCTAAACCCTACCTGAGATCCACTGATTGGGTTTAGCCGGCCGCCTCGCCCCAGCGGCGGAAGGTGGCTAAAGCCCGGGCGAAGGCAATGTGAATGGGCCTAGGTCTGAGCAGGGGGTGTTTAGGGTTTAGGGTTTAGGGTTTAATTAGGGTTTAGGGTTTAGGGTTTAGGGTTTCGGGTTTAGGGTTTAGGGTTTAGGGTTTAGGGTTTAGGGTTTTTTTGCCACCCGTCCAGCACTCGCGCACACCGCGGGGACTACTTCAGAGGGTCCACACTAAGCAACGCTACGTCGCGGGCAGAAGTCAAGATGCCAAGACCACCGTAACCTTCCTAGCTACACCCCAGAGTAAGGCCTCGCCAAACCCACCGACACCTTCAACCTGCCATGCGAGGCGGCTGTTTCCCCACGTCCAGCTATCACTGAGAGAGGAAACCCAGGGTTTAGGGTTCCGGGGGCTATTCAAAAATGGCGGTCGCCTTCAGGGGTAGCAAGCCTCTGGGAGCTGCATGTCTTAAGAAGTAAAGACTCAACTTCCTGAGGATGCCGACGGCAACACATGTCAGCATCAGAATCTGAGGTATTTCTGCTGAGGTTGCTTCAGGAGAACCAGACCTCTAAGCTCCTCAAGTGCACCTGAAAGCCTCGTAGTGGAGGAGTGCACCGACACTGACGACATGACACGGCCACCCTCTCCAGGTAGAAGCTTGGATCTGCAGTATACATACTTGGTGGTAACCATTGAAAGTGCTGTTTCCCAGTAGAAGGTGTGGCATTTTTGAAAAGAAAGTCGGACCGTTGCCAAACGCCAACCAGGTTGCCAGGATGTGTGGAGAGGACTTCGAAAAGTCCTCTGCGAGCATGAGGAAGCTTTGGGCCAATGGCACAGCGAGAGCGGTGCCAGTTTCTTACCAACAGGTAGTTGCTAGGCATCTACAAGCAACAGGCAAATGCCTCGGCGATGCACAAGTAGATTTGCAAACAACCCCAACCCCAACCAACACCAGACGCTCTGGTAGATGCACTCCGGGGCCAGGCCGTGTGTCATCATTCGGGGCCTAGACCCTAAACCCTTTTTTTTTTTTTCATCTGGGCTGGGTGGGGAATAGCCAGAAAACAGCTGCTGCTTGCACAGCCTGATCAGCTCTACTGGCTGACACGCCATACACGCGCTACATATTCACTGGGACGCTCTCAAACATGACAACCACGAGATCGCGAAGATGATGATAGTGGACTTGGTGAAATAGATGCAAATGCGTCTCCAAGAGATCGCCGGTCAACAAAATGTGAACACACAGGGCCACACCCTAAACCCTAAACCCGAAACCCTACAAAAGTCTGGCCTCAGTCCACCAAGAGGGCCCCAGCTCCGTCGCATTGCAAAGCTCGGGTTTTTTGGGGGCATCGTGCTTTCGGACATAGCGATATGGAGCGTCTACAATCTTAGGGGTTATTGTAAGGGGATCCCACTATTTGGGGGATCGAAATTAGGGGTCTCCTATTTCGTAAACCCCCATAGTTTGTGCTGGTGTCGGTTAGCGCCTTCTGGTTCAAGCGTTTTTCACCACATTGCAAATTAAGATTGCGTACACATATATATATATATATATGTATATATACATTTATATATCTCTCTATATACATATGTATATATATATATACATGTCTGCAGCAAGCAACGCTACGACGCTGCAAAAACTCTAGAGCCCTGGAAACCACCCCCCCGCGGCCCAAATCTGAAACTTATCTACCCTGAGCGCAAGAGACTTCTTCCTTCCGGTCCTCGAAAGTAGGTGCGCGAAAAAGGCCATGATATCGTGGGCCGCCGTGTGCTCGAGGTCGTAGGACCTGGGACGGTCAAAGGCTCGGGGACTAAAGTGCGCCACACTGAAAGCAACACTGTCTTCGAAGCCCTAAGCTATGGCTATCCTAAGCTGGCAACCGTCTGCAAACCTTAAACTGCTCGGGCACATCTTCTCTATTGTACAAGCCTACAGCTAATGAGAGTCGCGGCCGGAGCGGCGGGGTGGGGTCCCCAAGCGCGTAGCTGAGATCAGCCGAGGCACCTGAAAGTGAGGGACATCGGGCTCTGGCGTTTATAGGGTGTATAGGGTTTATTGGGCTTTATATGGTTTTATAGTGTTGATAGGGTTGCCCCTCTAAACCCTAAACCCTTAAGAGGGTTTAGGCTTTAGGTAAAACTTAAGGTTTAGGGTTGAAAGTTTAGGGTTCAACCCTGGGCCATAGAAAAGCTTCTTACATCGGGTGTCCCTTTGAACCCTTTCTCGCCTAAACCTTCTGGTGAACCCTGAGCTCCCTCCCTAAACCCTAAACCCTAAACCCCTAAACCCTAAACGGTTAATTATGTAAGGCTCATAAGGGGATACTATTCCTAAAAGATCCGACCCCCTTAAGAAGCCGAAACCCTAAACCAAAGCAGAGCACGTTCCCATCTTTCAGCTCGAGGTCTGCGGCCTTTAAGCAGGGCCTCGTCTATTCTACAGAAAGTTGCCCTCAACCCTTTTGAACCCTGAACCCTGAACCCTGAACCCTAAACCCTAAACCCTAAACCCTAAACCCTAAACCCCAAACCCTAAACCCTAAACCCGAATTGAACTCCTTCTTTGGGTCTTTTTCGCATCAAGCCCTGAGCGCGGAGGAGCACGGCGAACAGGAAGACGCAGAAGCAGCCACGATCACCTTCACGGATTGAAACATCAGTTTAGGGTTTAGGGTTTAGGGTTTAGGAATTAGGGTTTAGGGTTTAGGGTTTAGGGTTTAGGGTTGAGAGCAAAACTCACTTTTTGGTATGGGTCTGATTAGGGTCGCGGGTTTGGGGGGCTCTTTGGTGCTTCAGCCTGACATAGGGAACTGGACAGCTCGGGTCTCTTCGTTCTCGAGATCGAGTGCTACGGGCGTTTCAGGCCTTATTTCGGGCATCCTCAACCCGGAACCCCTATGCTTGTGCTGTAAAAACTTTATCATCAGCTCCAAACCCCATTAGCAACAAGCTTGCTCGGCATGAGCTGCTCACGTTCCGGAAGGCATTTTCGGGGCCTTCTACTGCTCCGCGCCCGCGCATCAACGCATTGCCTTGGCCCGCGTCAGCTATCCCAGAACTTAAGCAATTGCAGTGTCGTGAGCTTGCACCTGAGCTTTATGCAATATACTGTAGGCGTCGGAAGAGTTGCTTACATTAGCTCCTTCTATAAGAACCCCCCAAACCCTGTTCTCAATACTAAGGCCCGTATCGCAGCTCCCTTACCTCTGCGGGCCCTTGCTCGGAAACCTGCCATGACCGGTTTGCTTCCAAGGGGCGGAGAAGGAGCGCCATGTCACCTGCAGCCCCAACATGTCATTCTAGGCGTGCCACAAGCCGGTGAAGCAGAGAGAGCTAGAGAGCCGGGATAGACATGCACATCTACATATATGCATATAAATACTAGCATGCTGTTTGCAATCCGCAAATGTACAACTGCAGTATAACAGAGCATGTACTCTTACATGGGAAGTATATGGAAGTATTATCGGTCGCTGCAACACAGCTCGGGGGATCCTGCGGGCCAGGCCACGCGTCGTGCGATGGACGTTGCCGCCTTCCCTGCCAAGGCCCAAAGCTTCGTTGAGGACTATGTAGGGTTTAGGGTTTAGGGTTTAGGGTTTAGGGTTTAGGGTTTAGGGTTTAGGGTTTGTCACCATAGGGCTTGGGGCTGTTTAGGGCGTGCAGGATTTCGGCTGGCGTTACATTCACATCATTGAACCGAACATCTCGGGGCATCGAGGGCGAACGCCTTTGCTTTGCCTTGCCCTGAACTGCGTCAAGAAGCTTGCACGCTCCTGTTGCGCATTCGGTTGAACTGAGTTCTCGTCCTGCTCCAATGCATGAACGGCTCGTAGACTTGCTCGCGCCATTCGCCTCAGCAAAGCTGCATCCCTGCAAGCGGCAGCCAAAGATAGCCAAAGCCTACCATCAGCTTCTCATCCAAAGGGCTGGCAGGCAGCCGATTCTGATCGAAAGTGAGGAGCCTCAGCGCAAGGGCCGCGCGCATAAGAGAGAGCGCTTGCAGAGCAAACAAACAATATCGGCTAAGATGTGCGTAGCCTATCACGGCTCGGACAGACCAGGTGAGGCACATTCTGATCATTTGCGTTACCCCGCGCCTGCAACCAACAAGTTTGAAACTCTCAGACCATATCAGACTCACACAGGAGGCCCCTGGAACCTACCTGGTAGCCAGCTCATTTGTGAACTTTTTTTTCGGTGTGGGAAACGAGGTAGCCCTGAGGTCCGGAAGCGGTACGCCTCAGAACCCCAAAGCCGAAAAACGCTGGTCTCATGTCACTATCCGGCACAAGATGATGGCGATGAAAAGCATGGTTTAGGGTTTAGGGTTTAGGGTTTAGGGTTTAGGGTTTAGGGTTTACGGTTTAGGGTTTAGGGTTTAGGGTTTAGGTCTCAAACCACGACCATATAACATCCCACCCTACAAGCCTATGCCCCCTGCAGCCCCTACATCCCTCCGTGTGCCCCACAACCAACCCTCGGAAACGGATGTAACCCTACATAACCCTGTATCCTAATGTGGTGAGTTCTCAACATGATGGCCCCTTTTGCCCTCAATGTTCGGGGCCCCGCCTTGTAAGAGTAGCCCCAACAGGGAGCTTATTTTAGAGAACTGACCATGTAGCTCTGCGTAAACACCTCTAGGCAAGGTGCCCACAGCGCTCGCCGCGCTGGGCATCGTAGTCGGCCGCTGGCGCCTGCGGAAGACCTGCTGTGGGGGCCCCTAGATGGTCTGGGGCTTCTGCGGCTCTTATCCTCGGGTACAATGTGCCATGGCACGCGATGTATGTTTTTCATAAGGTACGATCAAAAGAAGAAGAGTACTACTGGCTATAAAAATAATGCTAATACAGGCGAACTTAAAGAGAAGGAAAGCCCAGCGGCTTTTGGGGGGTCCTCGAGTGGTCGGGCCTCAAGCGGTTTATGCCCGAGGGCTTCGGGAGTGGCACGGGGGAGCGTGTAATGGGTTTAGGGTTTCGACGCTCACTCTCGCACAAAGCAGGCCAAGGTTCACAGGTTCGAGTCAGACTGTCGCCAGGAGAGACACAGCACGTAAAAGGACTAACACAAAACGGAGATTAGTTTGGCAAAGGACAACATACACCAGCGGCATCACTCTCCATATTACCGGGGGGGGGGGGGAGGGCTGCTTCAAATGCGCAAGGGTTTCAGGTTTAGGGCTTGTTCGTCCACATGTATCGGCACACAGGCGTTGGCCCGGAAGCCAAGAAGGCTTCAGAAACGCGTGTTTGGCACCGGGGGGGGGGGGGGGGGGGCATCAGATATCCAGGCTTATCATGACACTCTACGGGAATTGTTGCGGGATCTGAAAACTCTGAAAAGATGGTCTGTTATGTCAAAAGGTACCCTGCAACTCATACCGAACTAACCCTAGACTCCTAACCTTCCAAACCCGAACCCTGCAGATGAGTCGGCCTCCCGCAAGCACCAGCAGAGGACCCAGCACCGGCATGCCGGAAAGCCATGTCAGGGTTGATACCGGGCATCGTTTTCAGTAGCGTAAGGCTTACCAGCACAGAACTCACGAATCTTCTTGGCAGTTGGAGGGTCAAGCCTAAGGTAAGCATGAATAGCTGATCGGCTTGTCTGGCGAGCTTTGCTTTTTGGGAAGGGCTGCATGGACCCTGCTTGTGGGATCTTTGCACAAAGCCATGCTGGACCCTAATCCCTAAACACGTTCATCCATTCAAAGCTTGGGACTTTCGGGGCCACCGAAGCGTCCAGAGGCATACTTGGCAACGGCAGGAGGGCTTCGGGGTTAGGGTTTAGGGCTTTTTTTGCCACCTGCCTCGCTGACCTCACGGACGCACTGCAGGGCACTAGTCTGCTACATTGCTTGTCGAAAAAGGTCTCATCGTGCCAGTGCCGTTACGTTGCCTCTCACGCTCAGGGTTTAAGGTTTAGGGCTTGGGGGGGGGGCATTCGCGGGGCGTAGCGGGCATCGGTAGCATGCCGAGGCTTGCTTCCTCTTGCAACCCAGAAGATCTTAGATGCATGTCTTCAAGCAAGTGCCCCCCCCCCCCCCCTTTGCCCTCACTACTCAAAGGGCCCAAACTTCCTGTTCTGTGCGAGCAGGGAGGGGGGGGGGGGGGCATACTGAGGCCGAGGCATGTGAAACCCCAAGTAAACCCCCAAAACCGAAGCTCCAAACCCCGAAAAAGAACAACATCTCAAAGCCCTACACCTATATCCATAAGTCACAAAAACAAAGTCCTGGCCCTTTTGTACCTGAAACATGTAAAGCCTAAACGCCAAGACTCCAAAAGCCTCAAAACCGCCAAGCCTCTCTCTTTCTTTCTTTCTTTCTTTCTTTCGGAGGGCGTGAGGGCCGGAGCCCCCGGGCGTCATCGCCCGCCCCGGATCGGGGTGGTTCGAAGGTTCGGTGGGCGACGATGGTGTGAGAGACTCCGTTCCCTGCCCCCCTTTAGTTAACCCCTGCAAGAAGCCCCCCTACATGCCCCCACGTGCTGCCAAGCCTCTCTCTCTCTCTCTCTCTCTCTCTCTCTCTCGCTTGCGCGCTCAGTCCAGCTGTCAGACGCGTCATGGACCAAAGCAACTCGCCACGCCCACACAGATCAAGAAGTTGCTCATCACAGATCAATCCGAAAAACCCCTTTGCACCAGAACCCTGCCCAACGGTCCGAGCCTTTCCCTTTGCCTTTGCGGCGGCCTCCTGGCCGAGTGCACGTTTTGTTGTTGTAAGGGCTAACTAATGTTGGGAGTTTGCAGGGCTTCGGGTTCAGGTTTCGGGTCTACACTGGGTTGTTCTGTCTGAGAACACGCGCTGCTTTCGGGGGGGGAGGGGGGTGGGGGGGAGGTCCTTGCTTTACCCTTGGGGCTTTAGGGTTTGGTTCCCGAGGATTCTTGTTTGTCGCCCAGCCGCACTGCAGGGTAACAACCGGGGGCACGCAGAAGCAAAACCGCTCAGGGCTGTGAGCGCTGAATCCTTTCAGAGCTCTCCAGGCGGTAGAATTAGAAACCCCAAGACCGGGCAAACAGAAAGAAACCGAAAACGCTGTAACAAGGGAAAACAGGCTGAAGCCCCCAAGAAACCCTAAACCCTAAACCCTAGACCCTAAACCCTAAACCCTAAACCCTAAACCCTTACACCTTCCCGGCCACGCCAACGGCCGCCGCCACGGTTGTCCCAGGCGCCTGCGCCATCGCAAGGTCTTAGGTTGTAGCTTAGGGTTTAGGGTTTAGGGTTTAGGGTTTAGGGTTTCGGGTTTAGGGTTTAGGGTTTAGGGTTTAGGGTTTAGGGTTTAGGGTTTAGGGTTTAGGGTTTAGGGTTTAGGGTTAGGGTTAGGGATTCTCTGCTTTCCTGGAGAACCCAAAACCCTTAACCATGCAGGTTACCTAGGACTCTGAGGGGGTTGTCAGAAAAAAATCAGCGACAAATTCGAAAATAGTAGGCGTTGGGGTTCTTGAGGAAACTGAGGGTTCCCAGAGGGCCCAAGACCCCCTTAATTAAGGAGCATGCCTTACATCATCCTAAGGATTCCTTGATAATTTAAGGCACATTCTTTCTTTCAGGGGTTTGCTTACTTGTCCAGCTTCCCTCATGGCGCTACTGGTGGACATTTGGGATGAAATGGCAGAAGCAGAATGCTTGTGGACCCTAAACCCTAAACCCTACACCTCAAACCCTAAACGAACCCTAAACCCTAAACCCTATAAGCCCTACATGGTAGGACCCAAAGCAAAAGGACCGACTGGGGTAGCCAAAGCTTGCATAGGGGGGGTCGGAATAAGTACTCATAGTATCCCCTCACAGTCCCTATAGAGATCAATAAATATACCCCGAAGCCCTACTCGAATCCTAAAGGCCCCTACATCATCTCCCTAAACCCTGAACCCAAAACTATCCCAAAACCCAAAACCCTTTTTTGCCAACAAGGACTGCGCAGTTGCCCAGGGACAATCAGGCCCAAACCCCCAAAACCCTACTCAAACCATTGAGGCCCCCTACATCTTGGTGCTTCAGTCCTCAAAAACCCCTAAAGACGCCGCCCCAACGGAGCAACGCGGAGGTTCAAGCAAAACCTTGCAAGCCTTGAGGGCTTAGAGGGCAGAGGGTAGAGGGTTTATGGGTTTAGGGTTTAGGGTTTAGGGTTTAGGGTGTAGGGTTTAGGCTTCAAGCCTCCATGAAGCCTCACATGCTAAATCGAGAGCCCCAACCCTGAAACCTTTAAGCAGGATGGGCCGCGGCACGAAGCGGCAAGCACGTTCAGACACCGGAGGGCATCGGCACATTCCCCCTTGAACTGTGCCCCTGCCTTGGCCGTGGTCCTCACTTAGGGAGGAGCTTGTTCGATGCTTCAGGTTTCGCCTTCGGATAAGTCAGTCAACTGCTCTTTGGACCTCTAGTTTGGGTGGGGCCAAGTGCTCAAGCAGCTCAAGCTTTCGAGGGTGTCTAGGGTCCTTTTCCGGGAATTTTAGGAGTTTCCGTTGTCCCTTGCTCCAATCTACCCGCGAGAGGACGGAAGGGTCTAGGACACGGTCCTCCTCCCATTCGTCCCACTCCTGGGCCACTCAGCTCTCCAGGTTTGCACATGTAACTAGGGGCAGTTTAGCGATCTGGGTTTGAGGGTCAAGGTCGAGAAGCTTAGAAGAACATGAAATAGAAAACTGCTCAACAGAGGGCCAAGTCTCCTCCTCCCACTCGTTCTCGTCCCACGCCTCCTCCTCGTCTTGCCATTCGCCACCTGCGCTTCGAATTGCCCGCCCCCAAAAAACCAGAACCCAGACACCCGAATTAACCCACAAAGCCTCTTGTTTGCATCTGGCTGTAGGACCGGTCAGACCTTTCAACAGATCTCTTTTTGTTCCTTCCTTCCTTCCTTGCGTGACATGCTGACCTACTTGCATTTCCCACGTTGGCATAGGGAAACCATTGCGGTGGAGCACACCCTCTTGCGGGGCAAAGAAACGCTGCAATTGGTGCCGGCTCAGCATTTCTTTGCGTAATGTTTAGGGTTTAGGGTTTAGGGTTTAGGGTTTAGGGTTTAGGGTTTAGGGTTTAGGGTTTAGGGTTTAGGGTTTAGGGTTTAGGGTTTAGGGTTTAGGCCGAGGCACACTTCGGAGGGTGCATGGAGGCTTTCTGTGCATCTCGCTCCCTCTCTCCCCTTCTTCTTCTCCTTCTCGTCAGAGGGCTTGGGGAGAAGGCTCCTTGTGTTGTTTGCGCCCTCGACACTTGAGTTGCAACTCATCCCCCGGAAAAACTCCCAAACCTCGCAGCAACCTTGCCCGAAGTCCCCAGCCCCGCCCCCTTCATCTTCCTGGGGGTCAAGATGGGGTACTATTATTTTGTTATATTGTTATACTATTATGCAATTCGATTTTTTATGGTTTTATACTAATAAATATATTATGAAACTTTGATGTTGGTACAGCTACAGGGTTATATTATCTATAGCTATATTATGATGGTATTTACCATTGTTTTTTAGAAAACAACTGCTACGATGTTCTTGTATTAGTCTCTTATTTCACGATTACATTCTTTCTTGCATCATCACTATTGTGATTTTGTATTAGCCCCCTTCCTCTATAAGCATTCCTGCAAGCTCAGTACTCCGCTGCCCCCGGTCGATTCCCAGCTCTCCGCTCAGCTTCGTCGTCTGTCGTCGCTTCGGGCTGAGAAGTGGGATCCCCCGAACTGTCCGAACTCGCCCTCTCTCTCTCTCTCTCTCTCTCTCTCTATTTCTCGCACTCGCTCTCATGTTGCAACAGAGCAGGTTGAGTCTGACTTCGGGGAGGCCTTGAAGGATGAACCACAAATCCCAAACCCTTAAACCCAAACCTTTAACCCTCAACCCTCAACCCTAAACCCTAAACCCTAACTTTAACCCTCAACCCTAAACCCCAATGCTCACAAAGTTACTCAGGGCCTTCATCCCATTCCTCGGCGGCCTGCCACTTCCAGTAGCCCTTGCTGGAGCTACCTGGCGCCAGTGAGGGGGTTTAGGGGCCTAAGGGGTTGAGGGTTTTATGGTGAAGTGACTCAAGGGATGAAGGGATTCGGGGATTCAGGGCTTAGGGTTTCGGACAGAATTTGTGGGATTTAGGTTGTCGAAATCGGGGCCAGTTCCGACTTCGTGCGCTAGGGGATGCCTTCGGCGGACCGGTTCCCCACGACGCAAAGAAGTTCGTGAGAAAGGGCCAGATATGCTTGGCTTTTGCACACTGAGGTGCAAAGGATCATCGCTTTGGGGGAATTCCGTCAAAAATATCTTTCGAGACCCTCTATTCACACTTGCCCTATTTGCAACCTTGCCCTAAATCCATCAAGCACTGAAAAGGCACTACTCCGAAACTCTACTAGATCCTAGGTTCCGTGATACGAGTGCCCCAATGCCCCCCCCCAAGCAACGCAGCAAGGTGCTGGTGCTGGCTTTCCATCCACCTGGCAAAACCAAAGTCTCATCTGTCCAAACACATGTGTTCCAGGCTTCGGCTCCATCCTGTTTGGAGTACCACATCATGACTTCCCGACTCCGAAAAGTCCCCTAGCTTCCTAATTGGTAGGGTTTAGGGCGGCGGAGAGCTCAGCCAGGAGTGGGCTGGGTTTCAAGGGTGCTTTTGCCGCCTCTACAACTCTACCCGACCTCAAGCTTGCTGACTCTATGGGCATGTTTCCAGGGACGGCGCTGCAACTATGGGTGCCTGCAGATGTAAACCCACACGAAGCTACAGATGACGAAGAATGGAGGCATGTGAATGCGGAAGATGGACAGCCATGCACTGCTTACTGTTCGACCCGTGAACTCCCTCCCTCCCTCTCTCCCTCTTCTACATCTTCTTCTTCTTTCTTCTTCTGCTTCTTCTTCTTCTTCTGAATTCTTCTTCTACGGGGCTGTCTTTCTCTCTCTCCGTCTCTCTCTCTGTCTCTCTGTCTCTCTATCTCGTTTCATTCTTTCGCAGGGCACTCAAACAAACAAGCACCGAGCACGCCCTCACCGCCTCATGTTGCAGATCCGAGTTCCGAAATAAACACCCCCCCCCCCCCCCCCCTTCACTACGTTTAGGATTCAGGGTGTAGACTTTGGGGTCTTCCCACCTTTTGCCCTTGTAAACCCGTATTCCCCCCCACCCCCCGCCCCCATGTCTCAGCTCCAGGCCGTTCCAGCTGCTCGGCTCCTCCCACTCCTCCGCCTCCTCCTCCTCGCCCTCGTTGACGAACCAATCTCGGGGGCAGCTGAAGTCTGGTGAAGCTTCCAGGCATTTCGGGTGTCAGGCTTCTGCTTCCAGGGGTGCTACCTTCAGAAGCGCTAGGCTTCAACTTGGATTACACCCGCAGCTCTCAGATTTAGTATGTGAGTGAGACTAGGGTTCTTGAGGTGGCTTCGCAGACTGGATGCCATGGGGCTTGCACACCTCGTGCATTCGTGGTTCCAAGAATGCGCCCTGACCATTGGAATGGTCCCCAAGGCCCCTGGGCACTGAACCCTGAACCCAATTGTCTCCCCGGCTCAATAACGGCCGGCAGCCACCGCTTTTGACTCCTCAAACTCCCAATCTCGAGGTGGAGATTCCACTTCTTTGGGTGCATGGGATGTAGAGCAGGTGCCATGCATGGAGGCGGTCATTTGGCGAGCTTCGGACTTCGGTCGTGCTCTTAGAACGCACTGCAACAGGCCCTGCACCTGAAACCCCGAAAGGCCCCACAACGGAACATGGCTCAGATGGCTCGGCGTGATCCCGGGATCCAAGCCCTAAACCCTAAACCCTTTCCCCTAAACCCTAAACCCTAAACCCTAACCACAGGGGCTCCCGCGCGACTTGCCCGTGGGTCTCGGGGCGTTGTTGTTCCACCCCTGAGGACTTCGAGGTGGGGGGGCCCCTAAACAAACCCGTTTTGAATGCCCTAAACAAACCCTGACCCCTTCTGCATCCCTAAACCCCTTTTTTGCAACCGGGCTCATTGCTGCCGGGACCTAGCTTCGTACACTCTTAGAGCTGTAGAAGCTCACGGAGGGTTCAGAGGTCCCTAACTAAGCCCTAAACCCAACCACTTTAGGGCAATGGATTCTGCAGTGGCTCATAGAGCTGGCCTGGGCGTTCAAAATTTGGGGCGGAGGGTGACAGGCGTTCGAGTTTGGAGGTCGTTCAAGCTCTGCCCTGCCTTCCCACGGCCTCCACCCCTGCCGCCACCTTTACCGCGGTCCTGTCATAGCATTTGGGGCCGGGTTGCCCTAAACCCTAAACCCTAAACCCTAAACACTAAGCCCTAAACCCTAAACCCTAAACCCTTTTTCTACAAAGCTTTGGGGCTTTGGGACTTCGGGTTGATCAAAGGACTCTTCTGGATGCCTCGTGCAATAGGATCCCGACCCCCATTGAGAGGGGTCGCCTACCAGGATTTAGGGTTTAGGGTTTAGGATTTGTTTCGGCACACTTCTCGATTTGTGCGTTGAGTCGACAAGCATCCTTGAGGCAGCGTTTAGGCTTTTAAGGGTCTTTAGGTTGTTTGAGCCTCTACTGCTTTGAACTTTAGGGTTTTTGGGTTGTCGTTTGCCAGTCGCCTGGCCTAGCCTTTGCCACACACTGCATACATCTGGAGGTTAAGTTCGCTCCGCACATGCACGGAACCTGCCTGCGCTGCCTGCCCTGGTCGGGCGCCCCCGCCCTTGCCAAAGCCTCGAGTTGGTTGCAGTTGTTCGGAACCGCAACCCCACCCTGGAACGAAGAAGCCTCGATGGTTCCGATGGCTTCGGGTCCCTCAATGGAAGCTGCAGGCAACGAAGAAGTCTACGAAGTTCAGACTGAAGCCTATAAGCCCTTGACCACAAGCTCAGCAAAGGATGGTGGGCACTTGCAGCTGTGTGCCTCCGCCGTATTTGGGCGTCGGCACAGCCATCCTCGGCAAACGCCGCATCTATCAGTACATCACTGAACAAAGAAGCCCAAAAAGCCTACGCACTGGCTGTCATCTGTGGCCTTAAGAAGGCGGTTGGCGCTTGCTAGTAGTTCAAAAGTGTCAGTGATTACCTGTTAAATAGATAAGTCTTTTACTTAGTAAGACTTCAGCGTTCAGCATTCATCAAGCCTGACCTTTGTGCTACAGTTAAACGTACCCGTTAGCTACCTGAAAACGTTCTGACTGGGCGACGCAAGCTCAACTGAGGTTTTCTGCTGCACTTTTTAGAGGTATGTTCTCCTGAACCTGTTGCCGCTTGCCGGCAAGTGCCATGCAATGCAGCGTGAGTGTCAGCCAGGCAAGTGGCAAAAGAACCCAGAGAGACAACGCTCAACAAAACTATGCCCTACGCAAGACCCAAACTGTTCTCGACCGGAGTCTGAGGTCTTCAAGCCATGCCTTAGTTTCGGGCACTGCGCCTCTCCTCCTACTTTAGTGTTTCGGCTAGGGCCGTTTACCTTTGGGAGCGCCTCTTACTGAGACTTGGGATCAAGTTGGAAGTTCCTCGTTGGCCACAGCCGAAGTAGGGCTAAGTAGAAGTTGACATTACAAGCATCCACAAAAAGGACACCCAACCTCGACACTCACACATGTTTATGAAGGAACCCTATGTGCGCTCACCAACTGCAGTAAGGTAAACCCTAAACCCTAAACCCTAAACCCTAAACCCTAAACCCTAAACCCTAAACCCTAAACTCTGTTTCAAAGCGTGCTTGTCGGAAGGCTTAGGGAAAGAGTTGAACTCGGAGCCTCTCTCGTTCAAACCTGGGGTCCCCGAAGCAACCCTGAACCTGAAACTCTAAACCCTAAACCCGAAGCCCTTCTTTGCATCCGGACTCATGAAGCCCTAAACCCTAAACCTTGAACCTTAAACCCTAAACCCTAAGCCCAAAGCCCTAAACCCTGAACCCTAAACCCTGAACCCTAAACCCTACACCCTGACCCACCGGTCCTTGTGACGGCCTCGCGCACACCAGGCCACACCCGGCGCTTGAGCCGCGGCGGAGGCCGGGGTTTGGGTTTCAGGGAGGTGACGGCTGCATCCTACAGCGCGCCCCAAACTCTGGGGGTTGTACGCTGGACCCTTAAGGTTGTGCCCCTTGGGTTTGGGGACCCTGTTTAAGAGCGCATTAGGGGAACCCTTAAGGGTACAACCCTTGAGGGTACAACCTTAGGGCGACGAGCCTTCGTCCCCTGACAAGCAGGGCTCCGCAGATGTGCAGCATATTCGAACAAGGCCCAGAGATGCGGCAGTCTTTGGGGTCAGTTGCTCATGTTCTTCACTGCTGGGCGAACACCTTGGGACAGCACGTGCATCCTACTGCCAGCGCTGCTTTCTTGCGAATCACAACTCTGTAACAGCTGCAGTCGCGCCCAGCATTTTGCTGGCGCCACCTGCATCAAAGCCTCGATGAGCCCTCCAATACTTCAGCAAATACTTCATGAACACTCTAAGCCCTAAACCCTAAACTGCACCATTGTTGGGGCATTGTTAGAAATGATCATTCTTTCATTCTTGATTGGGCTTAAGATGGCTTAAGCCTTCATAAACATGAACAAATGATTTACAACAAGGACCCAATAAAGCCCCCAGGAAGCCCGGGAAGCAGGACCGCGTGCCCGCCAACGTTGGTGAGACAAGCTGTCGCAGCAGCGAGTCGTGGCCAACAAACCACAACAAGCTTCTACGTTGGAGTTTAGGATTTAGGGTCCAGGGTTTAGGGCTACCCCAACAGCTGCATACAGAACGACGACTCCACGAGACCTAGATAGGGCCAGCAGTAGCTTGACCATTCCTGCCCCGCAAGCCTCCTTGCCGACATGGGGGGAGTCCTTCGAGGGATGGGCCGCGGGCTAGGAGTCATTTATGGGGGGGGGGGGTGGGGCAGGTGTTGTTGAACAACTACAGCATGGCGGTGGAGTTCAAGAGTGAGCTCATTCAACACGCAGTGGCCGTGCGCATGGACCGTGTGATGTGGGACTGATGTTTCCGGGTTTTGGGTCTTGGACAACTAGCAGCCTCTGATAGCCTCTCTACCCTTCATCGGCCTACTTCTGTCTTCTGAGGGCGTCCTTCCATCACAGGCCCCGGTCGACCACGCGCTTGCTCGCGGGAAAGTACCTGGGCTGCACTTCAGTGACTTCAGTGTGGGTGGGGTTTAGGGCTTCTGCTGCATGATCTGGAGGCCGCGTGCGATCCATGCCAAAGACAAGCCCAACGTGGGTTTAGTCGCTCACTCTCGCACAAGGCCGGCAATCTGCGTAGGGTTGGGTTTTTTTGGCACCCGCATAGCTGTTGCCTTCTTGCATGCCCCGGCGTAACCCACGCGAGGCTAAAACCCCATACCCCGCAGACAGAGCACCACGCACAACAGCTGGCACACACTCATGATTCAGTCAACCGGTCTGATCAGTTCGCGCCACACATACACATCCACATGTTTTGGTTTGAAACCAGCCCCTTTACCTGTGTCTGCAGTTAACTGATCTGTGACTTTTTTGCACGACACGGCGTTTGCTGTCTGGGAGCTGCTACCTACTTTTTAGCAGTAGTAGACTTCGCAAAACACAAAAGGGGGAAGTGGTACGACAAGAAAGACATGTCTTTGATTACCAGCTCGTGGTTTTTCTAAGCACTTGGGTCAGGGGTTCGGCTCTCACTCTCGCACAAGGCAGGCGAGGATTCGGTCGAAAGGTTCTCACTATGACAATCTGCGAGACTCCCACTCAATTGCAGCTCCAAACAAAGTAAGCCGGAAGGTTTACACACTTTCAAGCACGATAAACCGGAAGTGCAGAGCTACAAATCATGTCGAGGTGGAATCTCGTGCTTCGAAGACAGCTCATTGACCATTCCCATGCTATCTGACACTACGAATCTGTCTACCGGGTTTGGGGCTTTGGGATTAGGGTCAACGCTACATCTCCACGATCTCCAACCAAGGCCTTGAAGAAGCCCTTCCCCAGCCCCACCAACAAGAACCCCGGGGTGAGATGATCCAAAGGCCCCGCAAAGCCTCAACGACCACCGAGGATGGTTTATGGCCCTTCAAAACCCTCGGACACATGTTCCTAAACCTTAATCCTCCTAAGCCACTAAGGGAATCATATAAAACAATATATCCCCCATGGGCCCATACCTAGCAACCAGGTCCCCCCCCCCCAAAAAAAAAAACAAAATCAAAAAAGAAATAATGCGAATGACAATAATAGCAATAATCATAACAATAATCATAATACAGTAATAACCATAATAATAATCATCATCATCATAATACGAATACTAATTGTAATAATAATGATAATAATTATTATTAATATTATTAATATTATTATTATTATTATTTCTAGTATTATTATTATTACACGCAACAACCTAAAAAAAAGCCCTGCGCCCAGCGGCTCGGCGATGCTGACAGGCCGAGCAGGCAAGCCGCCCAGCTTGTCCAGCAGGTCCACTGGGCCTCGCCGCATCGCGCAAGAGCTCTAGGGGTTGCTCTAGGGTTTAGGGTTTAAGGTCCTAGAGGGTTTAGGGTTTAGGGTTTAGGGTTTAGGGTTTGAGGTTTTCGGGCTGGTTCGGAATCCACACAGCAGCGCACGAGGGGGGGGGAGGGGGGGGGGGGGGCGGTGTTCCATGTCGAGTGTTTTGCACCCCCCCCCCCCCCCCCCTCGCGTTTCCCCCCCTTCCCCTCTTCCAAGGGAGCTTCAGCTCAGGCACAAAAAAAGCTAGAAAGACCCTGAGCCAGAAAACAACCCCTCCCTGGAATGCGGGCAGGTCACGCTGCTTCCCGCGTGCAGAGGCCTCGAGCTGTGGTTCGCTTTCTTTCCACAGGGTTTAAGGGTTTAGGGTTTAGGGTTTAGGGTTTAGGGTTTAGGGTTTAGGGACAGGGTTGGGATCTCAGATTGACGATGAGTCTTCAAAGGAGCCCTCACTCGATTACCGTAGTACTTCCAGAAACAGAGTATGGTAAGCGTAAGAAATATAGAGAGCTTGCAAACGGGCCTTTTTCGTACGTGCTTTTGGTAATTTCGACGCAAGTTGGACTGCGCAAGCGCTATAAAAAATCCCTGGAAGCGTTCACGCAACTCATGTCTGTCCAGGTAGCTTGAAGCTCCTGGAAGGACCCAACCTCCCAAACCCTTAGCCAGGCGGCTGATCCTGACACCGGCGGCAGCTGCGGCGTCCGCCTCGTATGGGGAAGCCGTAGCATGGACGATGCAAGCTGGGACCTTGTCTACATTGAGGACTCCCAGGTTGTGGGATATGCAGCGGTGTTGTTTGGGGCGCCGGTGGCCGCGCATGAACTCACAAGCGGCGCCAAGGAGCTTTTTTTTCTTCGGGGTGTTCGGGCAGCCTCACATGCCTCACATGCCCCACCAACACCCCAGATGACTCACTAACACGCTATCACCATGCTCACCCTGAGGACCCAGTGAGGGCGCCGATCAACATCCACAAAAGCCACCGTTTTTGTGGCATCTGATGGTCCCGCGAGCGGCAGTTCAGCTAGTGCACTGACACGCGCTGACTAAGCTTCCGGACTAGCAACAACTAGTCTGCCATGACTGAGCAGATAGAGCAGTGCAAAAGACCACTAAACTTTCAACTCCCAAAGCCCTAAACCCTAAACCCTGAACCAAAACCGAAAACCTTTCTTGAAAACCGCCAGAGAGGGCAGTTGCCCCTGGGGGCTGTGCGGGGTTCTCGCCGAACTCGGGGCCTTTGCCGCCAGCACTGAAATGCAAACTTCGGGGCGCTTCGGGCAGACGCTTCTGTGAAGCCTTTGAGGTAAAATCAAAACCTTTTCGCAACTACACTCGTTGCTGCCAGGAGAAACCCTTCCAAACCCTAATCCCTAAACCCTTTGAGGTCAAGGTTTAGGGCCGCTTTAGGCGACTCGAACTCTCCCCATCGATCGTTGACCTGCCCCCTCCCTTAGCCCATACGCCGCACCCTTTTTTTAGGGAGCCCTTGAAACCCTGAACCCTAAACAAGGCCTTGTCGGACGAGCCCATGTCCGACGCACTGCTCTTCCGCAGCCAACGCCGAGGAAAACGCCCGGCCTGCACACGACCCAACAGCCCTGAAATCTTGGGGAATCCACGCTAATCATAATTATTATATATTAAATATTATTATATATAATACAATCTAATATAGGACAATTTAATATAATATACTGCATGATACTATATTGTAATGCAATATAATATAATATGATATAATCGAAAATAATATCATATAATATATATATATAATATATAATAAAATATAGTATAGTATAGTATAGTATAGTATAGTATAGTATAGTATAGTATAGTATAGTGTAGTATTAGCATAATATAATGTACTACAATGCAATACAGCATCATATAATATAATATTATTTTGTATTTTATTATATTATACTATATTGTTTTGTATTCTTATTATAGATATATATATATACATATGATTGAGACATTTTGCATGTTTCTGCCAGACTCGCCTCTGCACGATCAAGGCCGAATCAAGACCTGAACCCTCCCACAAGCAAAGCCGAAGGCGCCGCGCCTCGGAAATCCTGGACATCAAGGTTTAGGGTTTAGGGTTTAGGGTTTAGGGTTTAGGGTTTAGGGTTTAGGGTTTAGGGTTTAGGGTTTAGGGTTTAGGGTTTAAATTTTAGGGCTTAGGGCTTAGGGTTCAAGAGTTTCGTGCTTGGGGATGTCAGGGCAAGCAGGGAAACCGTTTGCAATGGTCAGGCTTTTTTGCTGGAACAATGGCTCGTGGGCGCACTGGACCGCTGAAACACCTCAAGCGACTTGAATGGCCGATTCATGGCACTGTCGGTGCTGGCCACAAAGCTACAGCGGCGTCCGAAATCAAGCGAGAAGACATGCGAGTGCGCAGTAGCCGCATACAAGACAGCGCAGTCAAACATTCAAACCAAATACTTGCCCCACCCCTAGGCAAATAGGTAAAGCCACCCTAGAAGCCCTCGACCGCAAAACCGTAAGTTCCCTCCCAAATCCTAATTCTCAGCAAGGCCCAAATCCAATATGAGAACCAGAACTCTCTTGGCTTCTTTCTAAACGAAAACAAAACAAATACTTCCATAATTCCTAAGGGAACTATAGTCACCCTCAGCCCTCAAACCTTCTTGGGGAAGCCCCTAAACCCCTTTCAAACCCCCAACGAGCCCAATGCCCCTTAAATAAGGAACATACCCTTCAAATTTGGGAAGGCGCCCTCTGTACCCAAATTTGATGAAAAAGCCCTCTCTACCCCTGAAAAACCTTATATTACGTCGGGGTCCTTAATATGATTTTAAGGTCGACTCCTTCAATTCAGGGGTACTCGAAATTATTATAGGGATCCTTAATATGATGTTTAAGTCTGTTTCGTTACAATTACAGGGGCACCTTAAATCATGTAGCAATCTGATATTACGGTATATTCCTGAAAATAACAAAGGTCTATTACTTTAAACTTAAAGGGTATCGAGGGCCTCTCCGGCCCAGAAACTTACCGGGGTACCTTAATATATGTAGAAATATGATTCTAAGGTCTATTACCTTAAAATTAAAGGGGTATCGAGGGTCTCTCTTTGTCACTAAACCCTAAACCCTAAACCCTAAACCCGAAACCCTAAACCCTAAACTCTTGGCCAGGGCACAGTTCCATGAGTCGGTTCGTGGGCAGCGGCTTCTCCTCGAAGTCGCTGGGCGTCTGCGCGGCTTTGCGGCTTTGCTTTGCTTTGCGGTTTTGCGGCTCTCGCACTCGCACAAGGCAGGCCAGGATTACGGGTTTAGGGTTTAGGGTTTATAGGGTTTCGGGTTTCGGGTTCAGGGTGTCGCGTAGGCTGAGGCGGGTGGGGGCGTCGTTGTTTTTGCGTTTTTTTGCCTTGGGGACGAGGGGGGGGGTTTGCTTGAGGCTTGCGGTTTGATCGGACTTGCGTCGGTCAAAGGCTTGGGCAGGGCTTTTGGCTCAGAGTCTGAGGCCTCAGGATCCGCAGATGCCTGGTGGGGGAGCGGGGGGGCGTGTTTCGATGCTCTACTATATATATGTATTGAATAATGGTCGTTTTGTATTATTACTGTGTATGCTTACTATTGTGATTGCTGTGTGTTTTTTTCTACTATTCTGGCTATATTGCAATACTGTTGTATCGTCATAACTACTATACTACTATACTGCAAACTACTATACTCACATACTACTATACTACTATACTAATAGACTAATACTGAGATTGATGTACTAACATGCTAATGTACTGAAACACGAATATACTTTTGCTATCCATTCTACTACTATACGATTATAAGCTTCTACGGTTGTACGATTTTCCTATTATACTATCACACGATTATACGATTCTACTCTCAGACGATTATGCTACTACACTACTGTACTAGTCTAATCTTCTACTAGTATACCATGATATTTTTCTTTTTTACTATTATATATGTTTCCAATTTGCACCTTTCATCATTTATATAAGGCAGGCAAGGCAATTCCTTTATTCGACTCGGGGATCGTGGGGCGTGGCAAGTCGTGTCTGTGCGCCATTGGACACCCGGCTGTGTCTAGGTGCCAGTGTTGAAAAGCAGCCCTTGCTGCGTGATACCAGAGCCTCCACAGTTTCAAATTAACAAAAGTTTCACGAACAAGCGAGCACCTGATCCAAAAGCGGTGCTCTGCCTGCCACGAAAACCTGAATCAGTCAGCGAGCATAGTCTTTAAAGGCTCGGCAACGGCGAAGTCAAAGCCGGTTGCCTCCTTGACGGCATCGAGGGTCGTGTCTGGCGCAATCTCAGCCAGTGTTGGAGGTGCCTCGGGACCTTCAGTGACGAAATCGAAGACTGCCAGGTCCGTGATGCAGCGATCCACCACTCTCTGGCCAGTGAGTGGTAAGTCACAGCTCTTTTTCAGCTTGTGCTTGTTTCCCTTTGCCACATGCTCCATGACAACCAGCACCTTGGAGTTGGAGGAGACAAGGTCCATGGCCCCTCCCATGCCCTTGACCATCTTGCCTGGAATGATCCAGTTGGCCAGGTCGCCATTCGCAGCAACCTCCATGGCCCCGAGGATGGTCACGTCAACCTTGGACCCTCGGATCATGCCAAAGGACTCAGAGGAAGAGAAGAGAGAGGAGCCCGGGATCATGGTGACCGTCTCCTTGCCTGCGTTGATGAGGTCCGGATCCACCTGGGCATCCGTTGGATAGGGCCCGATTCCTAAGAGCCCATTCTCGCTTTGGAGTTCAATGCGCACCCCCGGCTCTAGGTAGTTGCTCACGAGCGTGGGCATTCCGATGCCGAGGTTCACGTACATGCCGTCCGACAGCTCTTTGGCTGCTCGCCTGATGATGAGCTCCCTCCGCTTGTCCACCTTGATCTCACCTGCAGAAGAGATCGTCCTCTTCTCGATCCGCTTCTGATAGCCCTGGCCCTGCACAACGCGGTGCACATAGATGCCAGGCAGGTGAATCTCCTCTGGACTCAGGGCACCCACGGGCACGATCTCTTCCACCTCGGCAATGCACACCTTCCCGGCCCTCGCGCAGTCGGGATTGAAATTACGGGCCGTGCCTTTCCAAACCAGGTTGCCGCGCTCGTCGGCCTTCCAAGCTTTCACGATCGAGAAGTCCCCGACGATGGCGCGCTCCATGACGAAGCCTTTGCCGTCAAAATCGCGGGACTCCCTGGGCTCGCTCATGATCTCCACTGCGCCGGCCTTTGCACCGCCCGGGCCGTACTTGATGACATTGGTGCCCTCGTGCACCGCGGTGCCGTACGCCGTGCGCGTGAAGAAGGCGGGGATGCCAGCACCACCTGCGCGAAGGCGCTCCGCTAGGGTGCCCTGTGGAGTAAGCTCAACCTCCAGCTGCCCCGATAGGTACAGCTCCTCAAAGAGCTTGTTCTCGCCCACGTACGAGGAGATCATGCGCTTGATCTGCCTCGATTGCAGCAGGAGGCCCAAGCCGAAGTCGTCCACGCCGGCGTTGTTGGACACTGCTGTCAAATCCTTGACCCCCTTCTTCTTCAATGCTTCGAGGAGGTTTTCGGGGATGCCGCAAAGGCCGAAGCCGCCGACGCAGAGCGTGGCCCCATCCCGGATGTCTCGAATGGCTTCGTCGGGGGAGCCGACAACCTTGCTGGAGCTCGAGAAGCGCCTGAGGCTCCCTGCTGCAAGCGCCCGGGCGAGGCGGGAGGATCTGGCAACCTGGCTCAACATCCGCATGGCGGCTGCCAAGTGTCTCTCTGAAGCTCAATGGCTTGAGCCGCAGCCAGGGTTTGGGTTTGGAGCACGGCCACGTCCTTTAAGAGCCTTTCGAACTTACATGTTTTCAGCTTCTCTGCATGTCAACCGCTACAGCCTACTGAACGCAATGTGCTTGAGGAAGACATCCGCAGCCGCACGGAAAGAGCACTCAAGGGCCGACGCCTGGTCCATGTCCCGCGAGGCAAAGGCCACGCAATTGTGGTACGGCGGCGCTGGGATCTTGGGACTTCGGCTTTGTGTTCTTGGTCTAAGGACGCGGTCCGGGGGGCCGGGGGGGCGAGACGCTAGACCTTCGCACGAAAGTAAGGTTTGGGGAATTCCTGGCCGACTGTGGAGCGTGAAAGCAGAGGGCAGAATGACTAGATGCAAGCAGCAGAAGGCATTCGCATGGCGACGTTTTGAGGCTAGCTAGCTGCATGCCAAGCCACGCACAGCACCTTCTTCCGATAGTGCTGGCGAAAGCCGCCTCCTCAAACACTTGGAGCAATCTTGGCCTTTTGAAACCCTAAGTCGGCCGCTTCAGCCGAAGCAGCCAACATGGTGAAGGCACAGCGCTGCTTTTCACAGGGAGTTCCAAGTTCAAGGCACTCTCTCCGCATGCTCTCCACCATCTACTGGGAGGTTATAAGTACCCCAAATGGGGTGATAAGCGCAATTACCAACTTCTGGCCTTACTTCTGCCTACCGGGACAACGGGCAGGTTACGCCTGTTGGGTAACCCGGCTCTTATGGCAAGCTCCACTCTTCCACTCCCCCGGATAAGTCGCGGCAGTGGTCGTGCTTGTAGTCGTAGAAAGATGATATGGGGGCTTCCAATCATAAGGGGCCCATGTATTCAACGCCTCCAGGCTCATCGCGAGGGATCGCCACCATGGCCGCCAAGTTGGCTGCCTTGCGGGGGGGGGGGGGGTTCAGAGCCCTGGGGCAAGTCTGGGCTTCTGGCCCTGGGGCGGACTCCGAGATCCGAACGACCCACCCGATCACCTCAAAAGCCCCCCAAGACCCCTTTTCAAGGGTTTAGGGTTTAGGGTTCAGGGTGCACCTAGGAAGCCCGCACTTTTGCCTGCAGCAAGCGGGGGCGCGGCTTGGGCATGCCCTGGCAGATACCCCGAAGGCCCCCCGGGTTGAAGGGTGTTTGCTGACAAGGTTTCAGGAGCCCAGGGAGCCTCCACCCTCTAGAGCCCTGTAGGTGCTTGCAGGGTTTTGGGTGGTTTTGGGTGGGCTCAGGAATACGGATTCTGGGGAAGGTCATCCTGGTGAGCCCAATAGAACTTGCAGAGCTCAGCTGGGACAGTGTCCGAAAATAGGGGTTAACCCTTCTGTTGGGGGGTTCGTTCTCGTCAGGACTGCAGTATGCGGAGGGTGTAACACTAAAGGGTGTACCCCCAATTTGAGAGTTCAACGAATGGCTCGTAGATCATGGGTAATCCGGTTGTCACTGTGGTGCGGTCTCACGAGAAACTTGCTTCTCCAACAACCAAGGGGATAAAAAGGCTAAACTGTAATATTCCTACGAAATAAGGAAACCCAAAAAGTTTAAAGTTCAACTAAAGGCAAAGTAAGGAGAGAGCAACTCCTCGCCGGCTCGGCCGAGGTGGCCGCCGTCTGCTCGTCGATGTCGGGTAGCCCTGCATGGCTGAGGTCCCCGAACCTTGGATGCGGAGTTACAGCGGGCCACATGGACTTCGGCTGTGTATCGTGCTTCAAAAAACTGAAGTATGGAACACGTCAGGGGGTTTGAAGACAAACACTCGAGGTACTTGAGTTTGGGGCTCATGGTGCTTTGAAAATGATCCTTCGGCACATGTGCTTGGGGTTTGTGACTGCCAAGTGGCCTTCAAGGACGAAGCTTGGTTCTGAAGGTTTGGGGCAGAAGTGCTTCGGGCTGAACAGTCGGTGTGCGAGCGCCTGCATCAAGCCATTCTTGACAAAGGCACATGCCGGACATTGCCGCTACAAGGTAAATCGGCCAACTGCTTGCAAACGCCTGGTGCGCTACCGCATGTTTTTGGACCTTCGGAGTTTAAGGACCGTCCCATGTCAAAGGTACCTTGAACCCCGTGTCAGCCCGACAAACCGGTAGAGGCCTTGACTGGGGCGTGCACAAGCCACTACTCTCCACCGTCAGCACCGAGAACTCCTGCCCGCTGGGCTCCTGGCGGAGCAAGATCTTGGGGTTCGGTTTAGGGCTAAACCCTAAACCCTAAAGATTTTGGGGGCTCTGGGTCTCAGGGGGCTGCGGCTGGGGCCTTTTCATGGGGGGTTTAACGGGCCTGTATTGACAAGCTCTGGAGTGAAACCCTGGACAGATCTCTAAACCCTAAACCCTAAACCCAGACCCCTCAACCCTCAGCAGAAGCCACCCCCCCCAAGCTCCTGAAGGCCTGTGGAGGTCATCTCTTGCGAGAACTCATCGCAGGAGAGCTCCTAGGAGGTTCGGGAGCATGTGCGGACAGGTTTAAGCGATCTTCTCCCGATCTCAACTCTCTACGCGGGCGACATCAACCAGCATTCAGACCCCAGCTTCGTCCCAACAACGCGGTATTGCGAGCAGCTGTCATTGCTCAGAAACGCCTCAGGCCCGTAGGCTTCTAGGGAATATGTACACATCGGCGTATCGGATTCGGAGGGCACTCAGGTGGAGCCCTCTCAGATCCAAGAGTCGAACTCGCGAAGCATCTTCTCGATCTCGCCGTCGGGTGCCGCCATCTCTGCTTTCTCGGCCTGCGGCTGAGCTGCCGGGGGCGCCGGCGTCATGTGGGCCCCCGCATGTACGGCCTTGGGCGTCTCCAAGGGGCTCTTGCTCTTCCTGCTCTTCTGCGGCCTCGGCTCCTCTGACTCTGTCCGGTCGGAGATCTCCTCAACCCGCTCCAGCAAGATGCCCATCGTTGCCAGGACCTTCTGCAGCTGCTCGCGCTCCACTTCCGCCAGCATGATCTCATCCTCGCGGCAGCCCTTGAAGTGGATATTCGCGTTGATCTGGAAGGGCGCCGCGTGCACGGCCTCTTCGTGCCCCCGCTTCACGGACATGGTGGCTGACTACACTGCAAAGACACACAGCTTTCGAGAGACGAGCCCTAAAGTTCCCGACGTAACCAGCACATTTCTTTCTGTTTCTACGTACTATATAAGTCCATCTTCATTCTTTCATAGAGATAACAGAAATTGGAGTTGTGCTTGACAGGCCTAGCCTCGCGCCTCGCACCCCTTGAGCCGAGAGGCCTTGTAACACCCTTCAGAGGCCCCACGAAACCCCCACAATTATTGGGGTGTTTTTGTGTTTTTCTTAACAGTACAAGAACCCAATTATTGGGTTCTTTTGTGTTGGGGGGGGGGGGTGTAGTTTAAGGGTTTGAGGCCCGAAAACCTTGTGTTTGTGCCGGGTGGTGAACGCCTTAAACTCCTACTCTTGGCCTCTGGCCGCCCTCATTACTCCCGACGACACATGCTCACTCCGCATTCTAAAGCCCCTGACTACTATTTGCTTAAGAACCCCAAAAAAATACGGAAAAAACAACAATAATCATAACCACTATAATATTACACTTCTAAGGAAGAATCTTCTTTACTTTTTTCTGGGGTTCTTAAGCAATTGGTAGCTGGCCATCCCGAACCCCAATCCGTACAACTTGAGGCCGATGCCACAGGCCTCAGAGCCTGGGGATCAACCTCAGAAACCTCAAACGGCACTTGCAGATTCCAAAGGGTTTCCTAGGGTTTAGGGTTTAGGGTTTAGGGCTTAGGGTTTAGGGTTTAGGGATTCTTCCACTCTTCCCGCTTTCTGGGGCTCGGCTCTGGAATGTTCCGGACCGGACCATATACTACACCTCCGAGAAGCTCGCAGACTGCCCCTTGGAAATTGCTTGGGGTCTCGTTGCGTAAAGCGGTTCGAGCAGGATTGCACAACCAGAGTCCAGAAGCTTCACGCAGGCTTTTGGGGCTGAGGAGGCCGGAGGCCCCTCAGTTTCCCGTAGCCGCGCTCATTATAGGGTTTAGGGTTTAGGGTTTCTTTTTGGGGTTCAGGGTGTAGGGTATGGGGACCCTCATTCTTTCCGAATTCTCAACCACGAACCAGCACCTAGGTTCATAGCTTCGGGTTCTCTCCTGCGACATCTCCGGTCCAACCGACGTCTCTGCCAGGGACATCTCTGGCCAGCCGCCCGCCTGCACCAAAGCCGCGTTTCTGGCTACATCAGGGCTTAAGATGCAGAATATCAGGGCTTAAGATGCAGAATTTCAGGCTTTGAGGGCTTTGGTTCTGCTCGTAATAGGCGAGACCCGCCGCCACGCACAGGGGCAGGAAGTGCGGAACACCTTTTTGCAGCCGGACTGAGGGCGTTGCCGGAATACTGAGGGCGCTGCCGACATGCTGCCAAGTGCGGAACACCTAAACCCCAAACCCTACACCGCGGCCAAACATGAACAGTTTCCAAAGACTTGTATGGCACAGCTGACATGTGGGTGCCGGAGGTGCAACAAGCTGCCTTCTTTGCTGGCGGGCGAGCTGAAGCCGAGGTCAGCCGCCTGAAAAAAAAAACAAAAAAGGCTACTCAGAGGCTGACAAGAGCATGCGCATCAAGCCGCGGTAGCTTTTACGAGTGAGGGTTGCCAAGCTGTCGCCACGTTTCCGCAGGCTTCTGTACTTTGAAGAAGAGAGGCATTGCCTGATGCTTGGGCTGCTTAAGCTGCGCAGCAGCCCTTGGGGCTGCGGCTGCGTGCCGACGTGCTGAGCAGTGCGAGCCAAGGCGTTGTAGTCCTTGGCCTTTCCATGAGCTCTGGAGCAAGACCCCTAAACCCTAAGCCCTGAACCCTAAAGCGCTGACACTTCTATGAGGAGAGAGACACACAGAGAGTGAGAGAGAGAGAGAGAGAGAAACCCCAAAGCTCACCTGAAGTCCTACATGCTTTGAAAAACCGGAGGATTGAAGGGTGTTAGGGCCTTCGGGGCAGCAGGGGCGACAGGCCGGTCGCAGGTTTCAGGGAGTGGTGGAGCTTTCAGAGCAAGCGCAAAACGGTGATCTCCGTCGAACTGGTTCATGGGCCCTGAACCGATTCGCAGCTGTCACAACATCCGATGCCCAGCTGCCCCTGCACAATGGAGCTACAGAGACCCTTGCAAAGGTGAAAGGCCACAACCCAAGGCAGGCAGGCACCCGCCTCTGCCACACAGACCAAGCTAGTAGCATCGGACTCGCCTGCCTGGCCCGGTGAACGAGTGTAGTTGACAAGCTGAGGATGTTTCCATTTGGGCTGTACTCAATTCTCCATTTTTGGGTGGTTATCTGGCCCTATTTTAATCCTTATTGTAACATCATAATGTTTTAAACAATGCCCAAGAGAAGCAAAGGTTCGGGGCCACCCAATTCGCCCGAAACAACCCTTTTAGCCACCCGAACGCAGGCCTCGGATGCTGTCTCTGACACGGCACGGCTCGCCGGGGGCCGGCGGCCCTGGCGGAGTTTAGGAGCTTCTTTGGGGCTTCGACTCAAAACGTTTGCAGCAGCTTGTCATCCCAACCCGCGACTTCCCCTCAAACACGTACCATGATCCAGACTCCAACTTAGGGGTTGGGGGCTCAAGAGCGTTTCGAGCGTTTCGGTTAGGAAATCTCTTCTCGTCCATACTGGACTTGCTCGAATGCAGGCAGGCTGAGAAACTTGCTAGGTCTGGCCGGCACGAAGCGACAACATCACTCAGCTAGCTGCAAGAACACTGTTAAAGATGACGACCCAAGCCTATAGGCAGCGGCCGCACTACCAAGCACCACCAATCGAATAAGGCCGCAACACATGAGTCAGGTGCTCCTGGGTCATTCGCCACTCCCCAAGCACCGTCCAAAACCCCCCAAACACCCAAACCCCTCCAAACACCTAAACCCCCCAAAACACCCCCCCCCAAACCAACCCCCCAAACCAACCCGGCCCGCTCCCGCGGGAGGTGTCGGCCTGGCGCGAGCGCCGCGAGAGCGCCTGGGCCCGGCGCCGGGACAAATGCCGCTCTGGGTCCTGGCCGAGAAAAAGACTTGTATTAAGATCGGTTTATTTGCCACCCGCCCAGCAACAGCACTGCGGTTTAGGGTTACCGATTAGGGTTTAGGGTTTAGTGTCAGGTGGTTTGATAGATGGCGGTTTACGACATTAGGGGTACCTTATTGGGGTCCTTGTTATAAGGGATCATGCCATTTTGGGGGTCTATATTACAGGATGTTGAAGGTGTTCTATGAACCTTTTGGAACTTTTGGTGTTCTTTACGGGCTTCTTGCTGTTTTGGAGTGTTCTTGGGGCGCGCTTCCGTAATCTGCGGTTGGAGTAACCTTCACTACAACCCTTTTCTATAATAGCAGCCTCATCAAGGACGTCAAGTAGAGACTCCAATTCAGAAACTCCAGGCGTCTGGAGGGGTGTTGGGACGCGATGTTGAAGGCTGCGGGAGAGGAGAGGAAGGGATCCTGAAGGCGCCTAAAAGTATGGCAGCTTCGGGCTTCTCTCTGGGTTCGGAGAGTTTGCTTCCGCGGCACTGGACTTTGAGGTCACTGGCCTACCGTTCGAAGGAAACTTCGAAAAGACAGGGTGCCAGATCCACCGAGAGCCCAGGCCTCCTTGGACACCCAGTTTCAACTCGATGTTGAAACCGCTTTTGGGGCGGTGGACTTGCAGCAGGCCCCGGACCCACCTATGGAGCCGACAAGCCTTCACCCCAAAGTTTTAGGGTTTAGGGTTTAGGGTTTAGGGTTTAGGGTTTAGGGTTTAGGGTTTAGGGAAATTTCGAAGCCTCGACCGCCTTTGCGGTGGCCGTGGCCGCCAGGTGCGAGGGCGGGGGCGGCGCCTGCCTGGAGGGGCTCTGCAAGGTAAAGTTGGGAGTAGAGCTGCTTGGTCCAAGAACTCATCTGAGCACTGGTCATTAAATTCCGGCTTAGGGTTGACCGACCTGGACACACACACACACACACACACAAGCCACGGTGGCCAGCCTAGCAGCTGCAAGGAGGCTGCGCACTTCCTCACGAGGACACCCGTGGAAAACGAACTGCAAGTCCCGGAATCCTTTTCTGAGCTTCAGGGCGCGGGGTACGAGGCGGAACAGCCATGTCCGGTGGTTCAGCAGCTTCCCTGGTGTCCTGCAGCAACGGGCTCTGCTCTTCTGCCTGACACAGCGGGTTTTAGGGCCAGCAACCGCGCAACTGCACAGGATCTGGTTCCGGGGTCACTTGCCAGACGATCAACTCCAAGACTCCCACCGCCCCTGTGACCACTTGCTGAAGGCCTTTGGCCCTTCTCACGTGAAGCCGCCCATCTCCCTGAACCCTGTGAGGGCCTCCCTTGAAAGCGGATCCGTGAGGACTGCTCGGAAGGCCTGAGGGCTATTTTCCGAGGCTGAGATTGACAGATCAGCGGTGTAGGTACGTGAGGGCTGAAAGTTTGGGGTTTCGGCCCTTTGGGACAGGGCATGGGGAGTTTGGAGCCTGGTGGCGAGGTCAAGCGTGTGAATAGATTGGCGCTCTTTGGGGGTTGGGAGGTCTTTCAGGTTGGGCCAGGTTGTTCAGGCTCTACCATCGAGAGATGCGAAATGTCGCGCTGAAAGTGCCACAGGATTGCCCAGGCTGCACCAGCAGCCCGGCCAATGTGCGAGTGCTCTCGTCACTTTCTAACTATGCTGCAGACATGTACCAGAATGGTGTCCTCAAAGCCTACAGAAGCCTACCACCCCCCAACCAAAGCCCCCTCCCTCCCTCCCCTCTCCCTGGATGAGCCCCGGACCGCCAGCACCGTTGGCTCGGGGAGCCCCTCCTGTGCTTCATGCTCCAGGCTATACCTTCCCAGCGTGTGGGAGGGGGTGGTTAGGGGCTGTCGTTGAAGGTTAGGGGCTCGCAGTTCGCAGCGTTGAGGGCTAGGGCTTTTTGGGTCTCGGGCTTTGGTTTGGCCCCCGGGGGGTTGCGGCTTCGATGCTGACACGGCCATCAGGTCGTAGGTTTCTGGGTGTAGGGCCGGAGGTTGGGGAGTTTTGCGACCAAATGCTTTGCCCTCCTGCACACAACGGGGATTTGAGGCTTGAGCAGGTTCAGGCATGTCTAGGCTTTCTATAGCTCGTATTCATTGGTAGCAATCACATCATGTCCGCCACAAGCTCCTGAATCTGAGGATGCCACAGACACCCATCACCCGACTGTCTTGCATCAAAGCGTTGCCAAGGCACACACAGACATCAACCCATGCTTCAAGACTCAACACACCTAGACCCGAAACCCTTCTTGCACCCAGCACTTCCCGAAAGATCTTAAGCTCTCAGACGCTGAAACCGAAGATCCCGCGGCCTACCCTAAATTCTGCTGCCGACAAGAGGCCCCTGTTCGATTGTTTCTTGGCTGGCCCCCTCAGAGACCTCTTCTCAACAAATCGTCAAGCTGAGGAGTTGGGGAGAGTGGTAGGACTGTGGCATTTGCACGGCCTTATGGGAATTGCTGGAATTGCCCGCAGGAGGTCACATGCCCATCCCTATACCCCAACCCGAGTCCTGTGCAACAAAGTTCGCCATGAGTCCGATGCCCCGCCTCTCAAAATCTGAACCTGCTTGAAGGCTTTTTCAACTACAGACCCCACGCCAACTCCCTGAGCTCAAGGCTCAAGGCAAGGAAAATGAGATCTGCACACGCTCAGGAACTATACTAAACCTTGAACCAGGGTCCAGGGCTGTTGCATGTTTGCCATGTTTGGGTTGAGGTGTCTGGGGACCCAGCCGGCACCCGGTGGACGCGGTAGCAGTCGGACCCAGAACGCGGGATGACATCCTCACACCAGCTGAAGCTTTTTGGCCCTGGAGTCCTAGGGGTCTGGGCTTTGGAGAATCTGAAGGCTCCAATCACCAGGAACCCTGAAGCCTTAAGCCCAGAAACTCTTCCAGAAGCCGGAAGTCCTCTCATCGGAAGCGCGGAGTTTGGGGCTGAAGAGTTCTGTGGGACTTAGGCTCGGTGCTTCGCATGGGCTTCGCGCCGTTTCTTAGTCGGTCCTCGTCCTTGTCATCGGATGCCTCAGCGACGCAGATGCTACGGGCTGCGACTGCGCAGCAAAGTTGGGCTACTTGTCCGTTTCTACCATGATTTGACTTCCAGCAAGCCTTTTGGGGCCCTGTGCAGACTTCTCGCTGGTGTCGCACCATGGTCTCTGGCTCAGGCCCGGAAACGGCATTGTCTACAAGTACAAGTATTAACTTCACAACGCTCAGGCTGCAGATGCTCAGGCTGCAGTGGGTGCAAGCACGTAACCCCTCAACTCCCTTCGCTTGCCCCCCGCCCCCCACCCCACCTCCACTTCCTCGCCCGGGCCCTCGGTGAGAAATGCAGCGGCCGGGGCATCTGCCTGGCCATCGTAGCTGTTCATGCCGATTCTTTGGGGATGTCGCTCTGTGTCGAAGCCTAGCTAACAACTCTGCAGGCACGATGTGGTGTTTGACCTTCGTGACGAAAGTCTTCGCATTTAATCATCCAGCTCTCTCTCGTAAAATCTCCTTCATACCTTCTGACCTGGCAACCCTGCAGCCTAAAAACCTTTACAAGCTCTGATGCTATCATTCAAGATCATGCGACTAGGCGAGGGGCTTGAAGGTACTTGTAGGTCGGAAAACCTACCCAGACCCCTGCAGGATCCAAAAAGATCCCCTGAAGGGTTCCTAAACATGACACACTAGTAGTAGGGTACTATTTGGGGTTCTACTTTTTGGATCCCCTCAGGGGTATGGGGGTAGTGGCCCAGATGGGAAATTCTGGAACGGACGTTTAATAACGGCCTCGATGCCCAAGGTGTCTGCCATATGCTGGTCCAGGATGCGCCTGGGTTGTTTTAGCTGTTTCCCGCTTGCTTCTGAAGAAGGTTCTACAGAAGGAAGCGCGCGGTATGCTTCAATCAAAAGAATGTTCGGAAGTATCCCGGTGTCGGCAGTATTCGCCTCGATTTCTGCGCATGATACCCCTTAGCTACAGAGCCCCCCACCCACCCGCCCCTGCCCCAGCTTTCAAAGACCCAGGCCCTTTTGTGGAGACCCTTTGTTGAAGCTGGACTTGCTGACTGCCCCTAAACCCAAAAAACCTAAACCCTTTTTGGGCTGACCCCCCTTTTGTTCCGGAGACTGACCCTCTGGCCGGAAAGCTGGGGGTTCGGCGGAACCCCTGACCAATAATATAACCCCTTTTTGCAGCCCTATATAACCCCTAAACCCTGAACCCCCCCACCCCCCAAACCTCAACCCTAAGTCCTCTACAGCCCTGAACCCCGAACCTCACCCAACCCGGAACCCCAAAAACCCTCCAAAACCCCCCCTTCGGCTATGGTGTCCTTGCCGGAAAGACTCAGCAACACTCTCAGACCCTAGCACTCGTGGCTCCTAAACCACTTAACCCCCAATTTGAACCCGTAAACCCCAGACCCCGAAACCCCTTTTTTTCCTAAACCCCTAAACCCCGAACCCTGAACCCTGTGGGCCACTCCGCCCCACGCCCCCTGCGCTAGCCGGGCAAACCTCAAACCCTAAACCCCTAAACACGAAACCCTAAACCCTACTAAGCCCTAAGCCTTTAAGCCCCTACACCCCTAAAACCCTAAAACCCTAAACCCCTAAACCCCTAAAACCCTAACCCCCTAAACCCGGCAAAGGAGCTGCTGCAGCTGGTGCTCGTCAGCGCTGTGCCGGAATCCCAGGCGGCGCGTTCCTGGCCCGTGGGTCTTGCAATGGGTATCCTCTGGGATGTTCCCCCCTTGTACCAACGGTCCTTAATAGAGACGATAGTAGGGGGTGCTATCATCACTAATTATTAAGGACTGGTAGAAAAAGGGGGAAGATCCCAAAGTATCCTCCCCAAAACAAAGGTTACCATACATACAGTAAGCCACGCTCTTTTGGCTTATTTCTTGGGTTGTCATACACACACAGATATGTATATATATGTATGTATGTATGTATGTATGTATGTATGTATGAATGTATGCGTGTATATGTGTGCTCACTCTTATAAGGAACATTAAGGAACCCTGCCTCGCATGCTTGAGGCTTCGGGCTCACAGGGCTTCAGAGCTCAAGGTTTATAGGGCGCTTAACTACCCTTTGCTTCTGAGCCACCCCAAGTAACACAACAAATCTTCTTCCTTGTAAGAGCAATACAGGGATAAATATCCTTAATTTTGCGGGTTCTTAAGCAAATGGTAGTTTAGGGGTCAAGACGAGTTTAGGGCTCCGGTCTGTTCCGTTCGCCTACGAAACCCTTGTGCCAAAAACCCTGAGACCCCAAAAGATCAGCCTGTCCCCGCGGCTAGTCCATAGAATGGGCCGTATTTTGGAGGTACCCTATAACTGCAAGGTTTCGTGTTGCAATAGGGTCCCTAAACGGACCGTAGTTTGAAGAACCGAGCCTAGGATCACGCAACGCAAGCGACTTTTTGCCAGCTGTACAGGGCAGCAAGCTAAGTTCGCCTACCGCGGCTTCATGCACGTGGGGTCACTCGGACGACTCTTCTGCATTCTATCAGGCTGCACCATGCAAGCCTGAAGCTACATGCTTCACATGTTCACTGCCCAAGAATTTCTGAAAAATGCCTAGCACCGACCCTGGGAACCTGAGTGGGGCTTTGATGTGGGCGAAGGTCTGGTGCAGCCTGTGTCTGAGGGCTGTGTCAGTGTTCCAGATAATGGGTCTTAATGGCGTCTCGCTCTGTTGGCGTGCCACCAGACATCAGCAGTGCAGCTGTTCATTTGTGGCACAATCGGGTCAGGCCAAAAAAGAAGTATCCCCCAAGAACACAGTGGTCCGGCCCTTTATTTCTAAAAGGTGGCAACGTGTGTGTGATGACCGCTTGGGAGCTGCGCCCCGCGCGAACCCAGACGGAAAGCTCCCCTGGCCTCCATAACCCCGCACTGCCGCAACTACTCATTGCATACTGCATAAAGATGCATGAACAGGCAACTAAAAAAGGCATAAGGTGCACCCAAAGAGCCCAACACCCCTTAAACAAGGAATACACCTTAAATGATATTCAGGATCCTTTTTCTGATTTAAGGTAGATTCAAGGGTATTGGGCTTCATACGATTTAAGGTATCTTCCTTAAATGACCTAAACTGATATTACTGTAAGGATCCTTAACCTGCTTTGAGGTAGCTAGGTTCCTTTAGTATTGGGGGTATCAAGGGCTCTCTGGGGTAAGTGTCTCGTCTCAAAAATTGGGCGCGCCCCTGGCGCGGTCTGTGCTTGCGGTGCGGCGACTCAGAAGGGCGAGTCGGCGCGGTGGCTCCCGCAAGCCTTAAGGGATGTAACCCCTTATATATAGTGGAACAAAATGTATTTTAATTCAATATAATATCATATTATATTCTATTCTGTTACATCATGAATCATGATATACTATTATACCTTATATAGCTGCGTAGCCCCTATATTGCCTAAGTCGCCCCTTTCAAGGGTCCCTCCTTGGTGCCCCTTGAAAGCCTCTTCTGCGCCGAAGAGGTGGAGGGGAGTCATGCCCGCGAAGGCTTGGACTCGGCCCACCAGCTGAGGCCCTGGTTGATCTGGCGCAGGTAGTCACCTGGGCGGGGCCGTGCAAAAACATCTGCAAGATGTACAACTGAACAATAAGGGAAAATATCCAACTGAATATGATCCTCTTAAACCCAGTAAGGGCATTTTCTCAACTGAATATGATCCTCTTAACCCCAATAAGGGAAAATACAAAATGTCCCAAGAGCCTGCCTAGTCACGCAGCACGCCCTCGCTGCTGGCGGCTGTGCTGCAAGGCGAATTGACGGTGGTTGTGTTTGCAGTTGTGGTCATGTCCTCGTCCGAGTCCAGCATGCGCTTCGTGGGTGACTGCGGCGAGCGCTCCATGAGGTGGTCGGAAGTCAGCGGCAGCGGTCTGCGCAGCACATCCGCGACGTGCTTGGGGATGCAGAAGCTGCCGCTGCTGATGACCGCAATTCGGCCGATACTCTCGAAGTCACAATCTTCCTGTTCACGACTCTTCAACGACTGGAAGAAGCTCACAACCTCTTCAAACTTCATGGAAAGAAGCGTCTGCTGCAGCAGCTGCAGCACGGCTATGGATATCGGCAGGATCTCTGCAAGGCCCCCGCAGATAATAGCATCCCACAGCACAAGCACCATGGGCAATGGTAGGCTGCTGATGAAGAGGGTCCTGAGCCATGCTGCACGCAGGCAGAAGATGTCCTAAAATCCGTCCTGCCGTGCATGTTCTCAGAACTCACCCTTACAAACATGCTTAGGATGCCCTGAAAGCAGCCCAGGGGCAGGAACCATTGGTGCAGGTACACCGAATGCTGCAGGTTCTCCTTGCAAAAGTGTTCGTGCAACTCTGGGAGCGACTTGGCTATGAGCTCGTCGAAGGCCCACAGGTACCTCTGAGGGTTTAGGGGTTTAGGGGTTTAGGGGTTTAGGGGTTTAGGGTTTAGCGGTTTAGGGGTTAGACCCAAACCCCAAACAAGCTCTTGGTTTGTCTGGGCTTTCGGGGCTCCCCCCTTTCCCCCGCCCCCTCCCCCACACCTACGATTCCGACTCCTCGAGAAGGACGCTGGGGGAAGGGGCGAGGGAGCCTGTAGAGATCATTATTCGCCGCTGGGCCAGGTTCGTCAACCACCCAGGGCCTCCCCCCATCTCCCAAACCCACATTCGGCAAACCGAACGCGCATGCCACGCGCTGGGGTTCAGCAACATCTTGACTTAAGCACCAAAGTCAAAGAAAACCTCCGCCCCAAACCACGCCCCCTGTTTACATCCAGGCCTCTGAACCACGCCCCCTAAATCCCTAAACCCGAAACCCTAAACCAACGACAAAGACAGCCCTGCCTCTTCAAGAGTGGAAATCCGCGGCGGTAAAACCCGTTCAGCTGCCCGAACCTGACGCAGATCTCTCGGCTTCGACTCTTACAGCTCTGGCACTGGGGCAAGGCTTCGGCTGATCCCATGCCACATTCGGTTCAGGGTTTTTTTGGTTTTGGGTTTAGGGTTTAGGGTTTAGGGTTAGGGTTTAGGGTTTAGGGTTTAGGGTTTAGGGTTTAGACGCACATGACAAATACCCGTCATCAACTGCGAATGCAACCACATCGATCATGACTTCGTATCCTCTGATTCGCAGGCCTATCCTTCGGAGGCTTCCAGCTACACGTTCATCCAACGCCACACCTACATCCTATATCACATTTGCACCCTCGGCTGTAGGGTTTTCGGTTTGTAGGGAATTCGGCGCCCAGGCCTACCGGAACCCCGCACCCGCATCAAGGTTGCATACGTTTGAAAGCCCAGGCGCTCCATGAGACAGAAGAACATCCAGAACGTGTCCTCTTCCATCTCCTTACTTCGTTCTTTTGCAAGCCCTGATCAAAAACGGTATCTGACACAGAAACCAAAACGCCACTGACGCAAGGCTTGTTCCTAGCGAGCTCGCGGCCCTGCGCAATCCGGTTTGAAACCCTGAGGCCCTGAGCAGAACCTGGCCTAGATTTGGCTTAGTTGCCATGAACCTGTCCACCCTAAGCCCTAAACTTCCCCCTTAAAAAAACATATATATATATATATATATATATACATAAAAAAAAAAAAAAAAAAAAAAAAAAAAAAAAAAAAAACGGGAGGGAAGAGACGCCCAGGACGCCACCGAGCTTCGGGTGTGGGCTCTTTGAACTCCCCGCCCTGCACCTCGGATGGCGTACGCTTTATGGCATTATGTGGCTTATGGGTTTAAGCCCTCAACCCTGGGGGGGCTTAGGGTTTAGGGTTTAGGGTTTAGGGTTTTAGGGTTTAGGGTTTAGGTTTAGGGTTTAGGGTTTAGGGTTTAGGGTTTAGGGTTTAGGGTTTAGGGCTCTAACTGAGTTGTGCTACACCTTGCGGGTTCTGTTTGGGGTGGGTTTGGGTCGCAGAACACCGCAGAATATGAAAAGAAGATGCCTTCCAAACACACCCCGAGGTGCCACCAGGAAAATCAGACCCACCACGAAGTTCATTCCCTGGCAGTAGCCTGTTTGCATGTTCAGGATGTGTGTGTCCAGGGGGGTTCTTGGGATTCGGAGTTCTTTGCTACGCATATGTCGCATATGGGGCATGTTTGCCTTTATAAGGACCCCAAAAGGTATCCCGATTTTCGGAAACCCCAGATAAGACATCCAAATACAACAATCTGCTGTTGGCTGAGTGAGTCGCCGACGTCGGCACAAAGGTTGGCATAGGCCTTTAGGATGCGAAGGAGACATCTCTGCTGGACCTCATCAAAGGCCTTGGGTGTCTTAAAACGAAAGACACCGAGAGGAAAAAAAACACCTTTTTAGTCATACTACACTGTATGGATCCCATCCCGTGGTCCATCCCTTGACTGTAAACTTGCAGAACCACCCCCATACGTTCAGAGACGAAGGCTTTTCCAGCATATGGACCCGAGGTGCAGGATTCTCTGGAAATGTTCGCGGCACGTCGATCTCAATCAGGTGGATCCACTCATTGTCCGAATTTTGCAGCTCCTGGTACAAGCCAGGCTTCGTGTGCCCATCGATGTTCAGCACCGCCCGCCACACCTGAAAACTGGCATTCTGAAGCAGGGCTCCCTAAGAAAGCCCCGGCACACTCAAGTGTTGTTGGCATCAGAAGGGCTCCAACTGCATTTAATCGCTCACACTCGGACACGCCAGGCGAGGCACACTCCCGCCCCTAGTCTGTAGAGCCCGTTTGGGCATGTCGAGCCCTTCTGGGAGCCGGTGAGTTGCATCTAGGTTTTTGACTTAGGGTTTCGGATGTCTCCAAGACCCCTTGAAGCATCAACCTGCCCAAAACCACGAGCCCCCACCCCTAAACCCTAAACCCTAACCCTGAACCCTAATCCCTAATCCCTAAACCCTAAACCCGAAACCCTAAACCCTAAACCCTAAACCCTAAACCCTAAACCCAACCTCTGCTCGGACGTCGGCTGGCACGCCCTTCCTGGCCCGGCGCTTGAAATCCTCCGGGCGTTGCTGTAGGAAGTCCCGGAAGCCTCTGCAGGAGCCGCGAGCTGGTTTGCAGGGTTTAGGGTTTAGGGTTTGGGGTTTAGGGTTTAGGGTTTAGGGTTTAGGGTTTGGGTTTAGGGTTTGGGACCCCTAAACTAGACCCCAGATAGTAACAAATAGTAGGATTTACTTTGCAAAGGGACCCCCCCCGTATGATACGGCCCGTATGGAACGGTTGGCGAGCTTTCTCTGTGGCTTTGCAGGGGGCCTCTTTGCTGCATGCTCGTCCACATGCGCTGTCGTCGGACCTTATCATCTGCCATCTCTGCATCGCCCGCGCGGCCCCCCGCGAGACTACCGTGGCGCAAGGCTCTCTTTGTCGGACTCTGGGCTGCTGTTGATCTCTGCTTTGGGGGCCGCTGCTCTTGCCGTTTTTTCAAAAGGACTCTCGTGCTCGCGTGGTGAGTTGCCCCCTCTCTTCTCTTAATTGTGCTTCGCGTTCTACACTCCTGAGCTCTGAGTGCAGGCTGCGGAAACATGAGCCGTTCAAGATCCGCGACAGCCGGAGCAATTTGCACACATCAGAAAGCACGACCATCAGAAGGCAACCTCTTTCGGAACGAACTCATCATCACATTCCGAACACAGGCTCGGGGATCCCGAGGAAAACTCAGTGAGATGGTCAAGATTACAGAGCTCACTCGAGCTCAAAACTCGAGCATCCCGACGGGATGCTCAGAAAGATGTACCGGCGAGGCCCTTGTGGTCACCGTAGGATTCCAGGCGGGCCTGGCAGTAGCGAGACCTTGAACCCTCAAGCCCGTGATGAAACCGGCCTAGTTGCCTTCACTCGGCATGCCTTTGGTGCAATCTCTTGCGTTTCAGCGTTTTCCTCAGCTGGGCCTTCTTTGCGGCGGGCATGTTGCCGCCCTCCCGGTCCGCGAAACGCGTGGCCAAGCCATCGCAGTTGATGCCTCGGGTTTAGGGCTTTTGGCCAAGGAACCTACGTAAACCATAATTGTGCTATGTAGCATTTTAGCACAGCAACCTTTCTACCCGTGGGCCAAGACAAACCAAACCCACCTCTGGGATGGAGACGTTTGGGGGTTTGGGGCTCTGCGGGTTGCGGGTTTAGGGTTTGGGCTTCTCTTGCCACCTGTCATGCAGAAGGTTTAGGGTTTAGGGTTTCAGGGTCAGGGAAGAGGGTGGTAAGATGTGGTGCCGAGTTTTGTCCCCCTGCGCTGATGTGGAGAGGGCGGTGTTTATCCTTTTGCCGCCGGCCTGGGTTGCCGTGCACGGCACGGGAGAAGTTTTGGGGCCTGGGACTGCCCGAGTAATTGGGGGCACGTGTCCGAGGAAATGGCGCCCCAACGAGTCTGCTTCGGATTGCTTGGGGTTCGGGTTGCTCGACCGTAAACCCTCATTTCGAACGCGTCATAACAGCTGCATTGAGTTCTGACAACCTGGCTTCCAAGATGCCCGTCATCGCCTCGCCAATGTCCTCGGACACCTCTGCAATGACCTGTTGGCTCAGGGGTGAGGTCTAGAGCTGCCAAGCTCGCAAAAGCACAAGACCTCATGCAGGGATATGCAGGGGCACCAATAGGCTTGATTGACCATGAACGCATCCTATGCGTGTGGCGCATGTACATGCGCACGTACGCGCGTGCGTGTGCACATGCGCACACGTGCGCGCCACGATGCGCCACGGGACCTTTGCAAGTGCCACTGCACGCACGCTTGCTCTTGGCCAACGTCCAAGTGGTGGATCCGACTTGACGCTGTCAAATGCCGCGTAAGTCGCCGAGTAGAGTCAGCCTCTTGAGCGCCTCTTTTGTTTCCAGGCGGGCCCTGGGCACACCCCCCTCTCTCTCTCATGCTCAGGGGTCCTGTCAGACGCAGTGCTCGTTCGCAGTACAAACCTGAACTGGAGAAACCTAAAGGTGTTGGGTCCAAACGTCGGAAACCGAACCCCCACCTTGAAGCAGAACCCCTTCTCCTAACACCTCCAAAACTCTTGTGGCAACGGCGCCATAGACCCTATGAAATCTGCACCCTGGCCCGAAACCCTGAAAGCCCTGGCCTGAGGGTCGTTGAAGTGGGTCACCGCCTTCACAATCGCGCGGGCACGCTTGGCAGGGTCCTCCGACTTGAAGATGCCTTGGCGCTGCTTTGATTAAAGCTTCTGACACTTCTGCAAAGCCAGGAGACTACAAATTTGCATTGCAGCATCGGCCGAAAAGTGCGGGCCTACGTTTAGAGTCCCTTGAGGAAGATGTGAAAACTTGCTCCTCAATGCCCACGGCACCGCTGCCTACGAAGACGCCATCCACGCCCAGCTGCATGCACCTTCGTCCACGCAAACGCAAGACAAAGCGGTGGAAACACAAACCCGGGTATGGAACAGTAAAGCATCAGTACAGCCGTAATGAATCCTCAGCTTCCTCATGGGTGACCCAGGCACAGGGCGGCGTCGGCTGGTGTGGCCACACCTCCAGCAGCGAAGTTCACCACTGGGAGCTTGCCTGTCTTCTTGACGTGCTGCACCTTGGCAGCAGAGCGGTTGCGTAATTCGATGTAATTAGGTTGAGGCGGCTGTATCTGGCTGAGTGGGTTGCTACAAGAGCGTGCTTGAAACCATTGCTGGGCGGCCATTTTTACCTATGAGAGTGCAAAAAAGTGCATGTTCGTTGTAGGCACAAGATCGATGGGGGCGCCAATCTCCTTCGCGTAGGTAAAGAGCTCATCCTCACCAGCATCAGGACAACCACCGTACTCAAAAGGATCCAGGGTCACGCAGCCGTGGCCAACTAATTAGCCACTAGCTCTGACTACGTGGACATCAAGCCTTCCACACCATCCAGCAAACGCCTGTGACATGGTTAAGCTTTTCGCTGACCCAGCACTGATCCGAAGTCCTCGTCCATCATCTGCACCATGCGCATCTCTTTATGCAGCGTCCGGATGTGCCTCACGGCCTCCACGACATCGCCAGTTCCGGCCTTGACGTGCGCAGCGCTGGCAGAACAGAGCCGTAAGAGCTGCAGAGACAGCACATGGGCCATGGTCTACCGAACTCCGACCCCCCACCTCGCCCTTCGTGCGGATCATGCTGGCGCCCTCGGCCACACGGCGCAAAGCCTCGCCAAGGTTGCGGCAGCCGCACACGAAGGGCACCTCCCGATTGGCCAAAGAAAGAACAGCTCGGGGGAGGGGGGGAGGGGTTGTCACGTTCCCGATCGGTCTTGGCGTCTGAAAGAAAAAATCCCGGACCCCAGCTTCTTGCCTTGAACTTGGTCTTATTGACATGGTTGCCCTCATCTGCGACGGTCAGGACCTCGCTCTCATCAATGCAGTCCACACCAATCTGCTGCAGGACCTGCCGGAAATGGGTCTGCACTAGGAATCTGTGGGGACACGCTCTTAACATCTGGTCGACCCCCTTAATTACATAATGTTCATGCAACTGTAGCTCCACTATTGTCACTAATGGACCATCATTGCCGAACCTTGTGCTTGGAGCTGCCTATACCCACATGGCGTCCCCTCTAAACGAACTGAAACTGAACTGAAAGAAGATCTTTGTAAATTGCATGTTCGTGCATTACCGACTCGCGCTCGCCGAATCTGCAATATGCTCCAGAAACATGCGCCTGTGACTCCACAAAGTGGCCAATCCGGCACTTGGCCATCACGGGGATGGAGACGGAGTTAACGATCTCCTGTGCGGAGGCTCAGGTGTTTTTCGCGGATTCTCACCCGAAACCCCCTCAAAATTCTGCAAATGCTGCCCCCGCCGTCGGAACACCCTCCGCCCTCTCGGGCACAGCCTCTTGGTGACCCTCTCAACCGGGGCCTTGATCATCTTCGGGTCTGACATGCGGGACACGCCTTTGCTCTGCCGGATGTCCTGCGTCATGGGGCCCTGCGTCTTCGAGCTTTTGCAAGCTTTGGCAGGGCTCTTTGGGCCCAACTTTACCTGACCTTTTACAACTCCATATGGCGAACGGAATAGCAGCTCGGTGGTCATCTACAAGAACACACCCGGCCTCACCCGGCCCTCCCAACTGCCAGGCTTATAGTTGCGGTTTCGGGCTCAGGGTTTGGGGGAGCCGGAACCGAAGTGTTGACTCCCTCAAACCAAAAACAAGCTGCTCAAGTCGTCTTTTGCTCGAGCCGTTATCGGTATCGTACGGGCTACTTTTGTCATGGTATTCATCGTATTCCGGCAGAAGCTTGGAAAGGCTGATGGCTGCCTTGGAACTTGGGAGTGTAACATCGCTGCTGCGTATTCAAGCGATGCCAGGCATAACTGAAACTTGTGCCCCCGCTCGGCCCGTGTCAGTCCGCCGGGATCCTCTCCAAGGCCATCACGGCGCAGGCGCCGGCCTAGTCACTGGTTCGGGTCGTAGGCCCTTTAGCGATTCTAGAGCGATTTCAGGGTGTGGCGAGCGGTGGCCCTTGCACACTCGACTCCAACATCTGTCGTAAAGGGAAAAAGCGACAAGAAAAGAAGCAGCGGAAAGCTGTTAAGGCAAAGACAAAGCACGAAGTTCCCGGTACGCACATGCACATCGAGTGAAGGCATGGAAGGCGCGCGTAAAAGTCATCAAAACAGAACATCGCAAAATGGCTGCAAAACGCCATTTTAAAGCATATGCGAAGACGATCTACCCGCTCCGAGCTCATTTCTGCTGTTCTTCAGTTCTCCGCCGGCTATCTGTCCCTACAGCTTCCTACGGTTTATTACAATTTTACTGTTCTTGCTGTGATAGCAGTGCTGGTGCTGAAGGGCAGGGACATGTGAGTGCCAAACACCACCCACCCCAATGATTTTTACGCAGCCCGGGATCCCACCTCCCTGAGAGATCGTTCAAGGGGCGATGTGGGATGCCTCTTTCCCTTAATTTCCTACACAGGGCCCGGTACGTTAGGGGCCTACGTACATCCAGGGCCCACCTCCTCCGCGATCTTCGCCTGCTCCTGCAGGGTCCCCTGACTTTACGACCTCCACACACCGATGTTTTCTCTACACCCAAGGCTCTTCGTTGCAGCCCAGGAACCTTGTTATAATCAGAGCACCCTTTTTTTGGGTCGGCTACTTTATGTAAGGGAACCCCAAAAACCAAAAAGAAAGGGCAAAAAGGGCACCACTGGGGCTGCGAAGTCTCCGTGGCTCCTTGTTCATGACATCCATGATGACGCCACCCTTGAGCATGGCTGGGAGCCCCTTCCTCGGCTTTGCTACACTGTTCTCTGGGGTTTAGGGTTTAGGGTTTAGGGTTTAGGGTTTAGGGTTTAGGGTTTAGGGTTTAGGGTTTAGGGTTTAGGGTTTAGGGTTTAGGGTTTAGGGATGTTTAGGGTTTAGGGTTTGGGATTGTTGTGGAGATTTTGTGATCTTGTTGGGAGCTTTTGTGGGTCCTGACCCGAGCGGCTTCACCCGGTCGGTGCCCTGGGCCACATTGCGCGTTGCTTCGGCCATGGTCTGATCTACAGGGGTCGGGTCGGAAAGAGCCAAACTGCCGAGGGTGGCAAACAGCCTGGCAAGCATGTGTTGCATGCTCTTCGCACACTCTCGGCACGCAACCTTATTTTTTTTTGGCACGCGCCCATCATCAGGTTCCGAACAGAGGCTCGGGGATCCCGAGGAAAACTCGCTGAGATGGTCAAGATTACTAAGCTCGCTATTTAGAGCTCAAAAGGTCACAAAACGAGAGGCTCAGAAGGCGGTACCTGCAAGCCCCTTGTGGTCTCCGTAGGACTCCATGCGGGCCTTGCCACGCAGCAAACAAGTTCGCAGCGCACAAAAGAGTGTTAGGGGCCGGCTGGGGCAGGGCGAGATTTTGCCAGGGCCTCAGGCCATGAATCAGACTAAGGATCCCTAAAGGGTTCAAGGAACAGTCCTTGATTAAAGAAATCTTGGGCTCTCTGGGTAATACCCTAAACCCTAAACCCTAAACCCTAAACCCTAAACCCTAAACCCTAAACCCTAAACCCTCTTTCGACTGATGAAGACTCCCTCTGATGGGCCTTCTTTGCGGCGGGCATGTTGCCGCCCTCCCGGTCGGCGAAACGGGTGGCCAGGCCGTCGCAGTTGATGCCTCGGTCGGTTCCTCCCCAAAAAAAATTCAACCACACCACCCTTATTATTATGTTTCTAACCCAAAATGGAATTAACTTACTTCGATCATCCCCATCCTACACAGCTACATTATGTGGGAGCCTTGCTGCCGTTTTCGGGATGCTGCGGGGACTCTCCGCGGAATTGTCTGAGGGTGGGCACTCCAGGGATACTGGGAGTCCGCGGACTTCTCTGAGGTTCGCACTCCAGGGATACTTGGTGGTTCTCTGGGGGTGGCAGGGGTGGCAGGGAGGGATATAAAGGAGTAGGCACTGCAGGGAGAAAAAGGAGGCAGCATGGCCTAAGAATGAAAAAATGCCAGGATCCGGTCCGGCCTGGAAATGCTTTGTGTTTTTTCTAGGAAGGAGTTTTCTGTAGCTGTGGCCCACGGAAACCCCAAACCCTGAGACAGAAATCCCCAAGGCTCCGCCCCAAGGCCTGAACCCTAAACTCTTCAGATCCCATCCCCCCCCCCGGCAACTGCGGCAGCAAGAAAAGAAAAGCCGCTCATGGACCAGCGCATTTGAGTTAAGTCAAGGGGTTCTCTGTAGGTGGTTGGGGTTTCGGGCCGTCACGTAAGACTCCGAAGCCCTCCAGACGGGCTGTACTTTAGTCTGGGCATCCCAGATGCCTGTCATCGCCTCGCCAATGTCCTCGGACACCTCTGCGATGACCTGTTGGCATCAGGCTTTTGTGCGGCCAGCACAGCTGGCCAGAGGCCTCGTGCTCTACCATGAACAGTCTCGCGAGAGGTACACGTGCCCGAAGGCTGCACAAGTGGCCGAGTCGAGTGACACTTCAGTATCTGCGTGCCGGTCCGAGCATTCGAATTGGAACCGGAATTGAACCCTGAAGCCGCTCCCGACCTGAGGGTCGTTGAAGTGGGTCACCGCCTTCACAATCGCGCGGGCACGCTTGGCAGGGTCCTCCGACTTGAAGATGCCTTGGCGCTGCTTTTGTTGAGGCTTCTGACACTCCACCATCCTTAATCCCCGAAACCCACCCTTGCGCAGCTTCGGCCGACATGCGCGGGCCTGCGCTTAGGGTCCCTTGAGGAAGATGTGAAAACTTGCTCCTTGACGGCCGCGGCACCGCTGCCTACGAAGACGCCATCCACGCCCAGCTGCATGCACCTTCGCCCGCGCGAATGCAAGACAAAGCGGTGGTAGCACAACCCCAGGAACCGCACAGTAAAGCATCAGTACAGCCGTAATGAATCCTCAGTTTCCTCATGGGTCACCCAGGCACAGGGCGGCGTCGGCTGGTGTGGCCACACCTCCAGCAGCGAAGTTCACCACCGGGAGCTTGCCTGTCTTCTTGACGTGCTGCACCTGGGAGGCGGAGCGGCTTCGTAATTAGGTTGCTGAGTGTGTTTGAAACCATTGCTGGGCAGCTTTCTACAAGTCGCCTCAGCGAGCCGCCTCCAACTTCTTAGAGGGTGGGGGATTCGAAATTTCTCATGCTCATCTATGCTCATCTATTCGGTGTGGAGGGGGCGGGGTTTTGTTTTAACCCACAACACGTTTGAGAGTTTAAGGGTTGAGGGGCCTTCGGGATGCCCCGCCCCCCCAACTCCCCCACCCCCTAAGCGACCCAACAGTAGAGCTGCCTCTGCCTCGCTCCTTCTTGAGCTTGTGGTTCACTTCACCTATGAGAATGTAAAAAAGCATGTTCGTTGTAGGCACAAGATCGATGGGGGCGCCAATCTCCTTCGCGTAGGTAAAGAGCTCATCCTCACCAGCATCAGGACAACCACCGTACTCAAAAGGATCCAGGGTCACGCAGCCGTGGCCAACTAGCCACTAGCTCTGACTACGTGGACATCAAGCCTTCCACACCACATCGTGCAAATGCCTGTGACATGGTAAAGCTTTTCGCTGACCCAGCACTGATCCGAAGTCCTCGTCCATCATCTGCACCATGCGCATCTCTTTATGCAGCGTCCGGATGTGCCTCACGGCCTCCACGACATCGCCAGTTCCGGCCTTGACGTGCGCAGCGCTGGCAGAACATAACCGTAAGAGCTGCAGAGACAGCACATGGGCCATGGTCTACCGAACTCCGACCCCCCGCCTCGCCCTTCGTGCGGATCATGCTGGCGCCCTCGGCCACACGGCGCAAAGCCTCGCCAAGGTTGCGGCAGCCGCACACGAAGGGCACCTCCCAATTGGCCAAGAAAAGAACAGCTCGGGGGGGGGGGGGGGGGGTTGTCACATTCCCGATCGGTCTTGGCGTCTACCCGCAACATCCCGGACCCCAGCTTCCTGCCTTGAACTTGGTCTTATTGACATGGTTGCCCTCATCCGCGACGGTCAGGACCTCGCTCTCATCAATGCAGTCCACACCAATCTGCTGCAGGACCTGCCGGGAACGCATGACACGCTTGAAAGCAATTTGTCCACAGAGCTTTCACAACACAAGCCGACAAGCATCCCGGCTTGCATGGCCTTCCTGTAGTTCTGCTACGTTGACGTGTCACTCAGTCTGCTGTTCTAGACACCATGAACCAAGCATGGAATGGCTTGAAGCATTTGAAGCAGAAGGCCGTGTGCTGGAATGCAAGAGCACGGGCCTCTCCCATCCTCTACCGTTAATGGACACTTCAGGGGCCTTGGTGCATAACGCGACAGGTCTCACCCGCATTCCGAAGATGAGTGCCTGTGACTCCACAAAGTGGCCAATCCGGCACTTGGCCATCACGGGGATGGACACGGAGTTAACGATCTCCTGCGCGGAGGCCCAGGGTTTCTTCACAGATTCCCAGAACCCTCAAAATCAAAGTTCAAGAAATTCTGGCCCGCCCTCGGAACCCCTCCGCCCTGTCGGGCACAGCCACTGACCCTCTCAACCGGGGCCTTGATCATCTTCGGGTCTGACATGCGGGACACCCCCTTGCTCTGCCGAATGTCCTGCAGAGACATTGCCGTGGGCTCAAAAAGATGGGGAGTCGCCTTGATTGCTGATTGCTGGGTTTCACGCGGCTTCAGGCCACGGTATACCCGCTACAAGCCACAACAACGGCAAGGATAAACAACCGTGTAGATACCCTGTAGGCCCGTAGGCATCATAACTTATAGCCCAACATACCGTGCCTGAGAAGTCGGGAAAGAAGGCGCATGTGAACTTGTTCGGCTGCAGAGGCGAAAAAAGCGCTGCGACTAAAGCTCAGCGCGCAAACTAGCTCTGCTCTCCTTCAAAGGGTGCATCCAAAGAAAGCCCTCCTAATCCGACAGAGCTGAGAGCTGAGAGCAGAGAGGAACACGATCAGCCATTTCTCAAGTTTCAAGGGCACGGCACCCCTCCCTTTGGTGGTCCTTGGTTCTTTTGGAGTTTAGGGTCAGATCTTGTCCCCCTCAGTCAAGAGAGTACCCAGAAACAGCCCCATCAGAATAAAAGCACATAAAGGAGCTTCGCACCAGGTTGCGGCTGAACCCCCACCCCCCTCCACTGCCAATGCGCTGCTCATGCACCCCTGACTCACCAATGCCCGCCCCCTCAGTCCGCCGGGATTCTCTCCAGGGCCATCACGGCGCAGGCGCCGGCCTGCGGCTAAGGCTTCGGTTTCAAGTTACGGGCTTGGGTGCTGCTCGGGGGTGCAAGTGTAGCGAGGCTCGGGAAGGCGCCCTTCTGGCGGGAACCTTCACAAACAGACACAAGAACCATGCAATTCGGCGGCAGTATAGGAGTACGAGCCAAGCCGTATGAGTGCGCGAGATCGGTTGTGACGCCATCGTCTTGCACGAAAGACCCCCAAAAAAGCCAGCCGAGAAGCTGCCGTCCCACATAACAAGCAACACCTCGCGCTGCTGTGAAGTTCTAACAAGTTCTAAGCCCCTGGCCTCCTCCGCGATTTTGGCCTGCTCCTGCAGGATCGAGGTCTCCATTTGCCAACCGGTCCAGGCACGCACTACGACAAAATTGTCCACAATCGCCCCCTCCCAACTCCTTGTTCATGACATCCATGATGACGCCACCCTTGAGCATGGCCGGCAGCCCTTTCCTGGGAGTGCGATAAGGTTTGGGCGGTCTCGGGCCTCGGGCTTGTTTCCGAGAGACTGTCTTGTCTCGAATTCCTACAAGTACTGTACCCTGAACTCCTGTCATCTGAACCCCGACCAGCAAAAGAAAAACAAACGAACCCTACAGACCCTGAACCCCCTTGTTTAGATCTGAACCCTAAACTACTCTGGCATCCCAGCAGCTTCACCCGGTCGGTACCCTCGGCAACATTGCGCGCGGCTTCGGCCATGTTTTGGTTCGAACGAGGCAGCGCGCAGGGGGGGGGCAAAAGGCCAGAAAGAGCCACACTGCCGAGCGAAGTTTTCACACAGCTTTCGTTTGCAAACCCTGCGGCTGCAACTTCTTAGGCCTGTCAGCTGTCCTAAAACCCTCTTGCCCTAAACCCTAAGCCCGAAACCCTCATCCCTCCCTTGAACCGCGTGAGTGGCCGGTGCTTTGCACCTTGGCTTATGCCGTGCACCTCGACCTCGCTGCAAGCTGCGCAGGCGGAGGCGAACACGGGCAAAGTCCTGACAAAACACTCAGACCCTCTTTTGGGCAGCGGACTTTGAGGCTACGCAATCTGACGCAAACTCTCCTATTCACCCAGAACCCTAAACCCTATGATGGCCATAGGCAGAGCAGCTGCCTGACACAGTAGTCGATGATGGTTCTGGGAATTAAGGGCAGCTGTCGAGATCATGGCGGTGTTACATGAACGCCCCTGACAAGAACTGTGACAAAGAATTATGTTAGTTCGTTCTGGCTTGTTACCGGCACAATGTGCGCTTCTATGTGGATATGTATAATACGCAAGCGTTTGTCTTTAGGTAACTGTATCTATGTTCATATTCATGATGCTTTATTTGTTTCTGTAGGGTTGTTTTCGGTTCCTTTCCTTTCCTTTCCCTTCCTTGTCTTTTCTTCTCCCTTTCGTTACATTTCGATTTCCGTCCTTCGTGCGTTCTTTCCTTTCTGCCTTCGCATGGTCATGTGGCCCTCCTTGTCGTCATCTTCTGCTTCTTCTTATTGTTTTTATGATTACTCTCCTTCTTCTTCTTCTTCCTCTTCTTCTTCTTCTTCTTCTTCTTCTTCTTCTTCTTCTTCTTCTTCTTCTTCTTCTTCTTCTTCTTCTTCTTCTTCTTCGTCTTCGTCTTCGTCTTCGTCGTCGTCTTTCTTCTTCTACCCCAGGCCTCGTGAGTCCCGGCCGCCATGAACTGCTGCGGCGTCAGCGCACGCAGCAGCTCTCCTCGGCCGCGCGGCGGGGTCTTTGAGGCTGCACTGTCAGGGGCCCTAGAGGGATCAGAGTTGAGTCGAGGATGCTTCGTGCTTTTCTTCCAGGTCGTGAGGGGGTACACTCTCGGCTACAAATTTTCTCCGTCTCGGGACATGGCATCGGTGCCAGAAGGACGAAATAAATGTGATGGGCACATGCAGGGGCGCGCAATGTGTCAGCAGACAGATATCAGTGAGCTTCTGCATGCACGCGATCTTCTTTCAGGTGCTTGCATGAGAAAATGGCAACAAACAGACAGACAGCCAGGCAGGCAGCCAGCCGCAGCGCATCAATATCTTGAGCCACAAAAACTCGGGGGTGCACATTTCAAAGGACCAACAGCGACCCAAGGGGCCTTTGACCAGCACGCCCTCGACAATCTGCCGCGCACGCTTGGACAGAAGCCTGGGTGCACATCCAAAACTGGTATGCAGGTCCAAGGTTCGGGAAGTAGGGGCTTACGAAAATAGGAGGGCCCCTAATTTCGACCCGCAAAGAATAAGGATCCCCTTATAGTAAGCCCCCGATATTCGGAAACCCCCAAATCCGGCCAGCTTCTACCTAAAACCTAAACCCTAAACCCTAAACCATGTTGCCAAGAGCCGCTTTCGGAAGAATCCCCCCCGCGAAATTTGCCCAGGGAGCTGAAGGTGATGGATCTCTGGCAGAGCGGCAGCCTTCGAGACTATGGCTTTCTTTGTCTTCGTTTTGGGGGGCGTGCAGGTTTCAGTGCTTCTGGCTTCCAGGACTCGCATGTTACATGAAGGAAGGGCTTTCGATGGCTTTCTGAGAGGTGAAGGTCGCGGGTCGCTTCGCGCGGTTTACGATTCCCCCCAAAAGACACCCGGCCTGTCGCAATGGCCGAGCGATGTCTAGGAGACCTGGTTGGCGTTAGAGGTTTCAAGGTTACAGGGTTTAAGGTTCTAGGGTACAAGCGGATATTCTCAGTTCGATTTGGTTGAGGTTCTTCCTTCATTTCTGCCAACCCTGAACCCTAACCCCTGACCCCTAACAACCCTCAAAACCCGACAAACCCTGTGAACCCTAAAGCCTAACCCCCCCCAGAGTAAGTCTCCGGCCTCGGGAAGAAACGGCCCCTTAGATAGGCCTGCTGGGCGCCTTGCATCCAATGCCTGTCTCCACTCCAGCTTAGGCTGGTATGTTATCCCCCGCCGTGGACAGCCCAGCTCATTCTTCGATCGCACACGCGATCCATTGGGTACGCGACTTTTTGGCTTGCCGGATCCGTCATGTCGCATTCGACGGCTTTTTTCGTCGGACAAAAACAGGGCCTTCTCCAGTTGTACGTAGTATGTTGACTGACAGTTCCACCCTATGGAGAACCCAACGCCGTTGGTGTCTTCAAGCCCTGAACTCACCTGGGGAAACCAATTTCCGATGAATAAGAATTCAGGGCTTTGGGCTCCCTGGGCTAACACCCCTTGGCCCCAACACCTCTCAGCTTCCGGGCCAGGGCAAGTGAGGGAAACGCCAGGGCCCGGGCACATGAGTAGCATTTCGGCGAGGCCGCGCTCCACCAGGTCTCTGCAAAGCTCCTCATGGTTCCAAGTTTCTAAACCCTAAACCCTTTTTGCAAAACCCGAAACCCTTTGAAACCCGAAACCCTAAACCCCAAACCCTAAACCCGGGCCTTCTTTCTTGCATATTTTCTACCCTAAACGGTACATGATGCGCAGACATCGTGGCACCCCAATCTCGAATCCTCAGCTTATGGCTTCTGGGCTTTTGTAATTTTTTCGGCCAGGAGGCGGGGCTTCGCTTGGTAAGGAACATCACCAGGGAGAGCTTCAACACAAAGGCGGCCTGGCGGATCTTGAAATTTTGACCCTTTGCCCCGAGGGGCGTCCTAACTACTGGGGGTTGACGCTTGTGCATCTCTTCCTGAAGAGACTGGGCGCAGTGGGACGTCCATCCAGGATGGGGCTTGTGCAGGATTGAGACTTCTGATTGGAGAGCTCAGCATTTCAGGGCTTATCGGCTCAAGGCATGGAGAGCCTCGTAGATTTTAGCAGGTTGGCTCTTGGGATATCTTGCGTTTTCCCGCAACTTCTTCCCCCTTGGAGGCAAGGGCTGGGGAAGTTGGACTCGCCCATGCCTCCGAACCGAAGTCCATGATCCTCAGACATATATACATATATATATATATATAACTTTATATAACTTTATATAACTTTATATATATATATGTATATATAACTTTATATAACCGCCAGGAGCCTACCTCCCCTCGGGCCGTCTCGGTGTAGTTGCCTGGGCGTGTCTTGCAATTGGGATCTTCACGGATTCTGCGCACGCAACTTCCTGACTGCTGGAGAGGCACTGCCCTCTGGCGCACGGAGGATCTCCGCCTCGGCCTGCTTGTGGAGCCTGCGCAGGAGGGAGCCCTTCCTTCATCGAAAGCCTTGAATCTGTTGAGGGTTTAGGTCTTTATCGCAGATTTGTTCGAGGATCTCAGCGCAGGATCCCGAAGACAAAGTGCTTGCAGGTCACCTGGGCATGAGTCCTTGGGCAAGCGGTGCAACCTCAAAATCAATGTCTCGGGAATACGCCTCGCTGATACCCCAGACCCTACACATTGAACTTAGCCCAAAGTAAAAAAAAAAAAACAAAGCCCTGTGCAGCTGAGGAAAGCCTGTCCGCGATGCGCTGCGAGGCCTTAGAACATGCTTTTCACGATCAAGTCACCAGGGGCACCAGAGGGATGCCTTCAACCCAACTCGCGCATTAAAAAGCCAGAGCTAGCTAGCTCTCCTCTTCTTCTTCTTCTTCTTCTTCTTCTTCTTCTTCTTCTTCTTCTACTTCTACTTCTACTTCTACTTCTACTTCTACTTCTACTTCTACTTCTACTTCTACTTCTACTTCTTCTTCTTCTTCTTCTTCTTCTTCTTCTTCTTCTTCTTCTTCTTCTTCTTCTTCTTCTTCTTCTTCTTCTTCTTCTTCTTCTTCTTCTTCTTCTTCTTCTTCTTCTTCTTCTTCGGGGCTTGAAGAGCCCGGGGGCCCCCCGCGCACTGGGCACGCCCAGACCAAGTCCAGTCTCGGTGAAGTTTGGCAGCGAGGTTCTGACCCTGCTTGTTGGAGTTCCTCCTCTCTCTCTCTCTGTCTCTGGCTCTCTCGCTCTCTCTGCACACAACCCCACTCCGGGACTTGGTGGCCCCGCCGTCGGGGCCACGCCGCGAGCAGCGCGCTCGGAGGCAACCTGCCATTTCAAGGACCGTGATGCTGCTGCTCTCTGCCTCGATGTTTTAATTAAAACATCGAGGCTCAGGCTGTCAAGGCAAGTCGGACAATGCGGGACCCACGAGCATGCAGGTGGGTTTCAGGGTTGAAGCTGCACGCTTCACGGCCGGACTCGGCCTGATGATGTGGTAAGACTCCCCTCTCCCCCCTGCACCCGAAGACCTACTTCTTCACCGTATAGTTCCTGAACCCTAAACCCAAAACCCTGAACCCTAAGCCTAAACCCCAAACCCCAAACCCTAAACCCCCTCCAACCCTAAACCACAACCCCTGAACCCTTAACATTCTAAACCCAACATCGCCTCCAGCTGCGCCCAGGCGTCCACATCCTGCACCAGGTGCTTTAAGGGGGCTGCAGCGATTCGACCGAGATTCTTGGACTGCAAATGGCCTGCACGTGGTTATCCAGCATCTCCCGCGCGAAGTCCCACAACTTCGTCTTGGCCGGGCAAAAAAAGCAACCTTTCCTGCTAATCACGTGCATACTTATGTTCGTTGCACTTCTCCTAGGGACACATGGTCGTTCTCGTGCAGCCGGGACACATCGCAGCTGAAACTCCGCACCAAGGCGCACAGGAACATGTAGGAGTCAGAGCCTTACACTCAAAACCAACCACATCTTGCGGAGAGGCTTCGAGCAGCTACACCATTACACCCTCCCAACGGTCCGCACGCTAGGAGCGGGACACACTCGCATGTCGTGACCTGAGAGACTC